AATGCAACTGTCTATCTGCATATAGAGTGGTACTGCTGGAAACACAATTTGGGATTATATGAAAACTCATGAAAATTTCATGAGTTTCCGTTCGAGGTAAAATTGCTAGTATACTGAAAGGGAATTGCATATTACTAACGTCTAGTTAGTTAATGATGGATAGTGTACCCGGAGGGTAGCTTATCCGAGGGGTTATTGCGGGGAATAACTAGAGAGAAGTCAGAGCAATAGTAAGAGAGAGAGTAAGTATTCATTATGTGAACTTGTGATTATTTACAATGGGGAAATGTGCTGCTATTTATAGCAGCAATAAATGCGATGAGAGTACACGCGTCAATAATCTAACGGTCGAGGGGTCACCTCAACCGAGTGGCACCGACACCTGCATGTGGCCGCATTAAATGCGATGGTTGGATGTGACGTTGTACTCGCTACGGTGATTCAGGCGCATGTGAAGAGGATATTCTATCGAGGAGGATGCCTTCAGCTGTAGATAACAAGCCGAAGGCTCCTCGTACCAGGGGCCTCATAGTGTCGAGGGCTCCTAGTGCCGAAGGCTCGATTTTCTAGCCTTGTTCTCCTATGATGTTTCTGAGCCTGAATCTGTAAATGGTAGCCTTCGGCCATGGGGCCGAAGGCATCCCCTTGTGTATTGCGGGCTGCTTAAGGCTTCATTTTGCTGGGCTTGGCCCGTTTGGGCCTGTTGGGCCTGACTGCAGTTGTGGAAGTATGTGGGCCAGGGATCCCTAGGCCATATACTCCATCAGTTAGGTAGTTGGTAGAGTTGTCTTCTAGTTTAGCAGCTGGATACACAAAATGTAATAAGCTTAAGTACATGACAATCTATCATCTTCTTCCCTACCACTCTTTTGTAAAACTCTGAAGCTAATATCTTTCATTCTACTTGTTTGAGTTCTATTCTCTTTCGACCGAGATTGTTGTTGTAGTAGTTACCAAAACTTCCAAACATCAATATAAGAGTTCCCAGCAGAGACGAGTTCATGTTTTAAATGGGGAAAAAGTTATTTAACAAATGTATAAAGGGCGTCAACATTTGTTCTCCTAAGATCGAAGATGTGTTAGTTGAAGTGTCCGGTCCAAGTTGTAAAATATAGTTGTTGAGAATAATATTTTTCCTATTGTGTCCAAATGTCATTGTTTTAGTTGGAGTTTAATATACTTTCATTTATTTATTTGTATTAGTAGGGGTGGGATCGGTCCGGGCTGGGTCGGGTTTTTGCTCTACCCGTAAATTACCCGAAACTTCTCGGGTTATGAAAAAATGGGACCGAAAAAAAAGCCCGACATATTCGGTCCGAGCCAGGTTTTTTGAGACTCAGGTTCGGTCCGGGTTCGTGTAGGGTCGGTTAAAGCCCAATAAAAAAATATCATTGTTTTTTTAAAAGTATTCAAAAAAATGTTCAATAATCAATCAAAACGATTTGGTGGAGGCTCGAGGGGAATCTCCAATAAAGTTTTGCACACAAAATGTTGGAGGAAGATGTTTGGTCTATTGATAATGACGCACACGTGGATGATGTGTGGTTACCAATGGAGTCCACCATTAACAAAGTGGCGAAGGAGATACTCAGAGAATCTAAAGGATGTCTGCCACCAAAAAAGACACATCTTGGTGGAATGATGAGGTGAAACAAGCAATAAGGGCCAAAAGAGAATGCTATAAGAAATTGGGCAAAAGTTGGAGCGACGAGAACATAGAGGAGTACAAAGAGGCTAGAAGAAGAGCAAAGAAAGCTGTGAAGGAAGCCAAAGGAAAAGTGAATAAGGAATTGTATGTAAAGTTGGATTCTAAGGAAGGAGAAAAAGATATCTATAGACTTGCTCGCCTTCGTGACCGTAGTACTCAAGATATCCGAAAGGTTAAGTGTGTGAAGGATGTCGATCAAAGGGTACTAATGGACGATAAAGAAATAAAAGAGAGGTGGAGGTCATACTATGAGAAAAATGGGCCGGAAGAAAGCAGTGGGCCCAGATGGCATACCGATCGAGGCTTGGAGAAGTTTGGGAGAGAAAGGCATCGAGTGGCTAACACGTTTCTTCAACATGATTTGGAGAAACAACAAAATGCCAGTGAGTTGGCGGAAGAGTACTCTCATTCCCTTATTTAAAAATAAGGGTGATGTGCAAGAATATGCTAACTATCGAGGGATTAAGCTTATGAGTCACACCATGAAACTTTGGGAGCGAGTGGTTGAGCAAAGACTACGTAAAAGTGTGAAAATTTCGGAGAATCAATTTGGTTTTATGCTTGGACGCTCAACAACCGAGGCCATTCACCTTCTTAGACAAGTTGTGGAGAAGTATAGAGACACTAAAAAGGATCTGCATTTGGTGTTCATTGACTTAGAAAAGGCATATGATAGGGTACCTTGAGAAGTTCTTTGGTGGGCCTTAACTAGAAAAAGCATATCACGTAAGTATATCAGCATCATCACGGATATGTATGATGCTTGTACTACAAGTGTCCGCACTAGTGCAGGGAGGACCGCAGAGTTCCCTATTACTATTGGAGTGCACCAAGGATCTGCTCTGAGTCCTTTCTTATTTGCTTTAGTCATGGATGAACTTACGAAGTCAATTCAAGAAGATATACCGTGGTGCATGATGTTTGCCGACGATATTGTATTGATTGATGAGACACAATCCGGTGTTAAAGCAAAGTTGGAAGTATGGCGACAAACATTGGAGAGCAAGGGTTTCAAACTGAGCCAAAGCAAGACCGAGTATATGGAGTGCAAGTTCGGTGGAGGTAGAAGTGGTAGCAACAGTGGGATTACTTTTGATGGTAAGGAGATACCGGTGTGTGATATGTTCCGTTACTTGGGATCCATAATTCAGAAGGGTGGTGAATTAGATGGCGATGTATGTCATAGAATCAGAGCTGGGTGGATGAAATGGAAAAGTGCTTCAGGATTTCTATGCGATCGAGGTATGCCGACTAAATTGAAAGGTAAATTTTATCGTACAACAATTAGGCCGACATTAATGTATGGTGTAGAGTGTTGGGCGGTGAAGCAATGCCACATTCAAAAGATGAGTGTGACAGAGATGCGTATGTTGCGTTGGATGTGTGGACATACCAGAAAAGTCCGCCTGAGGAATGAGGTAATCAGACAAAAGGTGGGAGTAGCACCTATAGAAGATAAGATGCAGGAGTCTCGTTTGCTGTGGTTTGGGCATGTGCATAGAAGACCGAGTGATGCACCTGTTAGACGACTTGAGGGGTGGGGAGAAGAGTCAGAGAAGAGAGGGAGGGGAAGACCCAAACAGACTTGGATTAGAGTAATCAGAACTGATATGCGTCTTCTTGGGTTGGATGAGAGTATGGCTCTGGAGAGAGCAAAATGGAGGGCGCACATCCATGTGGACGATTGATGTCTTGTCTACCTTTCCTCTCTTGTTTCTTTTATCGTTTATCTTCCTTATCTTTTTATAATCTTATGTTACTTTTATCTTCTAGCTTTTTTATGTTCTTTTATTTACTTTTCTTTTATCTTGGTTATATTCTTGTGTTATTGTTATCTTATATTTATGTATCTTTATTTTATTCATTTTATCTTACTTTTTTTTCCTTTTCTTGTCCGCCTTCTCTTTTTGGCATCGTTATCATAGATCGATTCATGTTAGTCGACCCCAAATTCTTTTGGGATTAAGGCTTGGATGTTGTTGTTGTTGTTGTAATCAATTAAAACGATTCAACCTTCTCACTTTCTATTATAGTCAAAACAAAACTATTTAATCAATAATTCAAAGGCTATAAAGCAACGATATTTCAAGCACAAAAAAAGTATTGATCCAAAACACTCATGAAGAGCCAAACATAAATACTAATAAAATTCCAACAACAAAAATCCAGACTAAAGAGAACAAAGTTCTGATAAAATGATGTTTCTCTTTAAGATGGATTCAAAAACAAAGCAAATTAGAAGACCCCAAGTGAGTATTTGGACTTGTTTCCGTAGAATATCTTAATTTTTTATAATAAATTATAATGAAATATTCGGGTCGGGTTTTGGCCGGTCCGGGCCGGTTTGTAATTTTTAGGGACCGGATTTGGGCCCGGAATTTCTGGTTCGGTCCGGGTTTTTTAACCGGCACGTCAAAAATAAAAAAAAAAAACCGGCCCGGTAACATTTTTCGGTCCGAGCCCGGGTCGGTTTTCGGGTTTCGGTTCGTTTTTTCCCACCACTATGTATTAGGGGTTGTTTGGAACTTATTATGCTTCTATTTTTTTAAAGCAAAAACAGAATAGAATCAGTTTTCAGAAGCTGGTCTCCCTCAACTTCTAAAAAAACTATTTCTAGGAGTAAATTAGAACATGAGAAGTATTTCTGCACTTTTACCCAAACACTTCAACTTCTGTTTCTGTCCCTGAAGGAGCCGAAACAGTTTTAAGGATGTTTTTACTTGGACTGTAATTTGCTGGTCTGGTCTGGTCTGGTCTGTTTTAGTCTGGTCTGGTCGGTTTTGGTCTGGTCTATTTTGGTCCGGTCTGGTCTGGTCGGTTTTGGTCTGGTCTATTTTGGTCCGGTCTGGTCTGGTCTGAAATTTTATTTTTTATATTTTTTGCATAAAGATTTTATTATATATATATTATAATCCATAAATAATTATATTTTATTCATTTATACTTAAAAATAATAATATTCCTTCCAAATTATCGAAAATTGTTGTCGTTTTAATTGGATTGATTTCAATCCTAGACCGAAGCAGATCATACAAATACATAACAATAATAAAATAGTACAAGTATTAATAACAATAACAATACTACTACTAATACTACTACTACTAATAATAGTAGTAGTAATAATAATAGTAATAATAGTAATAATAGTAATAGTAGTAAAAGCAAACTAAGAATCAGATCCAAATACCCTTTATTCAAAAAGTAAGTGTAGTTTCAAAAATTGTTTACTTCTTAAGCCCATTTTGAGAAATTTTCCCGGCCCAATTGATGTTTTATCCGCTTGTGTAAAAACAACGTGGGAGTCTCCTCCAAGTTGCAAAAACCCAGACTGACGCCGCCTAAACCCTCGCTCTTCACACGCACTTCGGCGACTGCTTCATATTTTGTTCTCAAATGGGTTCCTCACGCTTCGTTTTCGAAGTTCCAAGCGATGAAGAGGTTGCTGACCTGTCGGACGTTCAAAGGGAAGAAGAAGAAGACGACGACGTTGAGAAGAACGAAACTGATTCCCGAGCTAAGAAGAAGAAATCCCAATCGCCGTGGGACTTCTCTGCCTATTGCGGGTCAGTTGATGATGAACATGCCTCCCGGAACACTACGTCAATAGATTACAAAATCTCCAAGGCTGCCCAACAGCGCTCTGCCCCAATTGCTGCATTGGACGAAGACAGTGATAGCGATTCTGAGCCACACCACCAGGTAATTACTATTTTGGATGAACAGATTACAAATGGTTGCTATGTGTATGCTAATTTTCTTTTTAAAAACGTTGCTTTTTATTTAAATCCTTATTTTAGGAGGACTATATACCAGAGGACGATGATGACGATGACGTGGACACTAGCGTGGGAGTCAAAAACCCATTCTTTACCTCAGCTGATGGGGTCTCTTTCCATGCTGACTCGTTCATTGATCTTAATTTATCTAGGCCATTGATTCGAGCTTGTGAAGCATTGGGTTATACCAAGCCCACCCCAATTCAGGTTTCCATGATTAGTTGAACTAAATTAACTCCTCTCTACAGGCTTCCATCTGAAATTGTGATTACTACATGCAGGCTGCTTGCATTCCATTGGCATTAACTGGCCGTGATATATGTGGAAGCGCTATTACCGGTTCTGGGAAGGTTGATTTCAGGAATCTCTTTATTTTGTCAGTGGGCTTGGCTACGAGTTTTTTCTGTTGATTTAGCTAATGAATCTGTCTTTCTACCTTCATACAGACAGCTGCCTTTTCATTACCAACTTTAGAGAGACTCCTGTACCGGCCTAAAAACAGGCCTGCTATTAGAGTACTTATTCTTACCCCAACCCGCGAGTTGGCTGCTCAGTAAGTTTCCATATCACGCCTTTGTAGTTTGTAGTACTCCATATTTTTTTCCTTGTATGGCATAGTTCTAGCAAAGTATCATGATACAGGAATGCAGGGCCAATGGCGTTTCTACACTGTTCATTTTGTTAGTGCTGTGAATGTTATTATTGTGATTGCATGTTCTCTAGCCTCCTGAAAGATACAGCTTCTTTCTGCCAGGCTTGTATTCATAAAATTCAGATTGGTCTTTTATAAATTACTCGTGCCACTAAGATGGGAAGACGAGGAAGTGACACAACTAATGAGAAATTTACTTATTATTTGTGGACGGACTAAAAGGAAAGATTGGACGGAGGGATTGCAACATATTGTAAGGGGCATTATTGACTTGGGCTAAATACCCGAACGTATATCAATGAAAAGGCTAGATTTGCTTAATGGTTTATTACTTTGACCGCTGAGATTAAATAAGACCTTTATATAATGTGGAGCCCGATTTTTTTCAAGCAGGGGTGAAGTTCAAAGTTCAAACAATGGATGACGAATTGAAACAAAAGTGGTACACACCCAAAACTCTGTTCTAAAAATCACTAAAAACTAAAAAAAACTTAATTGACCGCTGCTAGCTGCCTATGTTACAACCACTTAGGTTCTATGAAGAAATGTTATAGAGTTATAGGCTTGTGACTAGAATAGTGTCAAGGGCTGATGAAATGAAGCTGGAATCTTGGCAGAAGTTGATTTTGGATGCATACACATGTGGTGATCAGTTCTAACTTTTAATTGAATGAGTGACTGATAAAAGAAATAGAAGATCTTGTTGAGCTTTCCTTCAATTTTATTTCTATGTTTTTGCCTTAAAAAACAAACAAACTGACAAAACAGCAAACCGAGTGCAAGTAACTTCCCACCTACACAAGGATTGTAATTCAAACCAAGTCAAACTCTTGCAAGACATAATAAAGAAAGTCAACTGGATACTGAGAACACAATATCTTATGATGTGATTTCACGTGTCTTAATTAAAGGTGGCATCCAAATCCTCCAACTTAGAAGATCATGTCTCATAGTAATCACGTGGTCATGGTAGTCAAAATCGCAATCTTGCATGTAGGATCGTACAAATATACAATCTGCATTCCTTTGTGCAACCTCAGGTTTACTCAGAATCGTTAAAGTGCTTGAATCGATGAGATCGCCATGCAAAATTGTAAACTCGTCTGTGTATCGCGATTTAATAGCAACAAGATGTCAGAAAACTCGAAATACTTCAGGATTAAGAATTGACGGTAAAAGTAAGTTGAAAGGTCACAAAAAGACTGAATCACTGGCAAACTCATGTTTATGCATTGACCTCTTCATCGCCATCTTGAGTCAATTCAATAGCTACTAGTTGTCGGAACTCTTCTTTCAAAAACATGGGTATTAGGAATAGTACACAAAAAACTGAAACTTCATATAAAGACTGAATATTACACACATGCACACTAGCTATTCTTTTAGTAAACCACTAGGTATTTTACTTTATTACTTTAGTACAATATAATTAGTCTATTTTAAATTAGTAGACCACTTCAATTTAATGCAAGTTCTTACTATAACTTATCTTTATTATGATTGTTGCTACCTCCGTCCCATAATGTACGATATACTTAGGTTTGGTATAAGTTTTAAGAAAATAAAGGAGAAGAGTTGTTACATTACCATTCTAACCTCAAAAAATAAGAAAAAGTTGGATGAGTCCACAAAAAGTAAAAAGTGAAATGATTGATAAAAGGATAAAGTGGGAAAGTAAAAAGTTAGTGGGTTAACTTTATAAAAGTGATCATAGTTTTGGTATAACCCAAAAAGTAAAAAGTATTTACACAATGGGATAGATGAAATATTATTTTAGGGATATTTCCCAAAATAGGAGTAAATAGAGTGAAATTCCAAAATAGGAATACTATGTTTTTATTCCCAAAATATGACTAACATGACAGTATTTACTGTCATCTTGTAGGCGTGACTGTCAAATAGTTGCAGTACATCGCATTTAACATGACAATATTTATTATAATTAATGCCGGTATTTTTTAATTATGGCAGTATTTTTCATACATGGAAGTAAAAACTCCTATTTCGGGAAGAAAAACACAGTAGCCCTATTTTGGAATTCCAAACCACATTTACTCCTATTTAGGGTAATTTCCCATTATTTTACTATAACCATTGTGTATAATACCTAAAGTATTTGGTATTATTAATTATGTTCTAATCAACTTAGTATGATTATATTTATGAATTACATTCAATATCTAATATCTAATTATAACTCTATTGTACATCATATATCATATTACATATACATACATAGATACACTCGTGCGCGCACACACAAATATATATTTATATTTATATATACATATATTCACACACATGCATACACATATTTTAACATCTTACGATTCAAGTCATGGTCCTATGATTTACGATCCTTAAGTCCTCTTCCGATCCTACGTAGGATCTAGAGTTTGACTACCATACATGTGGTATAGGTAGGAGTGGTATGTTAAGAGCTTATACTGACAACTACAAAAATATGTGATTTCGTTGGAAGCTCCTAGATGCTATTATGATGAAAGTTCAATGCTATTCCATTCTTGTGGTAAAACCGGCCCAAATCTTCTCCCAGATGCTATTTGGATTTCTATGTGATCAAGGTATGCTAACTAGACTGAATGGTAAATTTTATCGGGCAACAATTAGGCCTGCACTAATGTATGGCGTAGAGTGTTGGACGGTGAAACAATGCCACATTCAAAAGATGAGTGTGAAAGAGATGTGTATGTTACATTGGATGTGTGGACATACCAGAAATGATCGCTTGAGGAATGAGATAATCAGACAAAAGGTGGGAGTAAAACCTATAGAAGATAAGGTGCGGGAGTCTCAATTGCGGTGGTTGGTCTTGTGCGTAGATGATCGAATGATGCATTTGTTAGACGAGTTGAGAGTGGGAGAAAACAATTGGGTAGGGGGGGCTAACAGACTTGAATTAGAGGAATCAGAATTGATATGCTTCTTCTTGGGTTGGATGAGAGTATGACGTTGGACAGAGCAAGGTGGAGGGTGCATATACGTGTGGACGATTGATCTCTTTTCTTCCCTTTCTCTCTCTTTGTCTCTCTCTTCTTCTCTCTCTCTCTCTGTCTCTCTCTCTCTCTGTCTGTCTCTCGCTCTCCGTCTCTCTCTCTCTGTATCTCTCTTCTATTTCATTTATCATTCTATGTTCTTATGTTATTTTCATCTTTTATTTTTCTTATGTTCTTTACCTCTTTTCTCTTTAATTTATCTTATATTCTTATGTTATTTTTATCTTATTCATTTTATCTTACCTTATCTTTTTGTTTTTTATCTTTCTTTACTTTTTTGCTCTAATATCATGAATCGATTCATGTTAGCTGACCCCAAAATCTTTTGGGAATAAGGCTTGAATATTGTTGTTGTTGCCTTTTGTGTGGATTTTGTCACCCCTATAGTTGACTTGTGGAGCTCAAAAATTGCATTTGGATTGTTATAAAAAGAGTCCATGGGCACCGAAGATATGAGGAATGAGATGGACATGAGCCATTTCCTTGAGCAATAATTTGCTATATACCAAGATATCAAAAAAACAGCAAGATAATCTTCCACAAATATGGGCCAAAGATATCGTTTGTTAAGCTTTGGAATGTGGACGGTGCAGAAGAGAAGCCTTAATTGCTATATAAAAATTTCCAACTAGACGTGATGTGCCCAAAAAAATGTTGTCATCTCAATGTCCTTTGGTGCCATGTGGACTTGGTGATATCTGGAATGGAGACTGAGCTTAATGAAATATGTGGCACTGTGTAATTCATATAAAAGTTCATCAATTGGTAAGGGTGGGCGAAAAAAACCGTAACCGATTAACCGCGGTAAATAACCGAAAAACCGGTGTTTGTTTTGGTTAACCATACCGTGTTTTTTAAATCTTGCGGGACCGTTAACTAACCGGTAGAAAAAACGTTTTACTATACGGTTACGGTTTTGAAATTAAATACCGCCGGTTAACCGCTAATCCAAAGTTAATATATTGCTCCCAAATTCATACATACATTTTGCTTATTTATCCAATGTGAGTTCATAAAACTCCCTGTATTATATTCAATATTAACTCCTTGTCCATATTTATTTACAAATTTACGGAGTATATATATGGTATTGCATCTTAGATTTAATACTTAATTTTATTTTCGGATTTTATATTTAAAATTTCATTTTAGATTCAAAGAATATGGTATTACATCTTACAAGAAATTTTCTCAACTTTCTAAAACGTATGTTTCAAATCTAACTTTTTTAGTTATACACTACGAGACAGTACGAGTACATATTGAATCACAGTTGAAGCATATTACGTACTCCGTATAAATTCTTCGTAATACGTACTCCGTATGTAGTATTATATATTGCAGTAAACTTCCAGTTGGTAAAAAAGTTATTCTGAAAACCACAATACTGCATATACGTAATTTACTACGTCTGTAACGTAATTTAGTATAGGGCGTTATTCATACGGCAATATTAAAACGGACCTAGTTAGTAGTTTATTCATATACTTTGTATATACGGTTTTTTGGTTAACCGATTAACGGTTAACCTATGAGATGGTTAATTGTTACCCGGTTAACCGTCATTATGGTACGGTTACTGATATCATAAACATATTAACCGATATTTCGGTTAACCATAAATTGGTTAACCGAAATACGGTTAACCAACCATGCCCACTCCTATCAATTGGTGGAATTGGAAATTTATCGTTTCCTACTTAGAGCTAAGTTCACTATAATTCGCACAAAAGTTCTAATAATTGTCCGCTTTTTTACTAATAAGGTTGGCAATGAGAACGGGTATCAATTAGATCGAAAGAATCTTTGTAACTAGCTATTAGCATTACTTTTCGATCTTGTCCTTCTGAAAGTACACTTATCAGTAAATTAGCACAACGACGAGCTAACGCTTGGAGTGAGGTGAATCCTGTGATCACATGATCGTGGGGGGAGGTAGGTTTGTTGTCATGTCAAATACGTCTGCAAACTAGGACAGTAAATCAATCATGGACTCCTAGGTCGGTCTGTACTGAAAGATTGTTACCTCTTTGAGTATTGTAGGAACTCCGTCTCCCCCAACTACTTTTTGTACCTCTTCCCACAATTTAGTTTTTATCTTAACAATATTATTCGTTTTATACTTCACAACAGTTTCAACATAATCTCTCAACCTCTTATACTTATACTTATACTTATACTGCTCTCTAATGTGACCTTCAATCTTAGTTTAAAGTTGAATTGTTTTTTTACATTTGAATTGTAAAAAATTGCCTTTGAATTGTTTTTTTTACATTGCAGTCACATCCCACTCATTATTGTCTCTCAACTCATCGAGATATTTTTCACTCAAAAATATAATTGTCACAAGATCATTTGGATTAGTAAAATAACATTCATGCTTTTGTTTGAAAGTCTTGATTTGGAAAAAAGGAAGAATCAATCAATTTAGATGTGTGAACCTCGAATGAACAAGTATCCCTATTTTTGTAGACTACAAAGATGTTTGACCTATTGTTCTTAATAAATTTGAAGTCCAATGCACCTTTAACAACCCACTCCTTTATAGCCTTTCTAAATTCCACACGTGAGGCGAATCTCATACCTTTACATAAATTAGGATGTTTTGATCCAATCTCTAATGATCCTAGTTGTGAAGGCCTTCACTTTAGGCAACATCTTCATTGAACTCATCCAAATCTTGGTCATTCAACGTTTCTTCCAAAAATGATTTTTCTACATGTCCGTCCAAGCTCTCTAATACATCTTTCAAATTCTCTAATACATCTTCACTAATGACATCATGAAAGACATTGTCTTCACCCCCTTCTAAGTCATCATATAACCAGATGGCTTCACTACGGTGGGGAATAGAGTGGTCATAAGAAGAAGTTTCACTCATAGTGGTGACTTTTGGTAGTTTTCATCTTCAATCTGAATGTGGAATTGTGTTTGTCAAAATGTAGGACTTGGCTCTACACTTTCGGAATCCCAGACTTTTGATGACCTCACCTCCCAAATATTCTTTTTTTCAAACAATCCCATTTACCACCATGGCGAATCAACAAATTCACATACTCATTCCAGCCTATACTTGATTATGCTTTTTGTTTTTTAAAAGCAGAAGTAGAATCAGAATTAGTTTTTCAGAAGTTGGTCTCGCCAACTTCTAAAAACTGCTTCTGGGAGTAATTTGGAACACTTATAAGTGCTTTTGTGCTTTCACCAAACACTCCAATATCTTCTTCTATTCCCTGAACAAGCCGAAACAGTTTTAAAAGTAGATCCAAACACCCTTAAGACATATCGAAGGATCCAGACAAAAATAAAAATAATGTCCTATAAGAAATCGAACCATTACAAAATCAAATAAGTTCATTAAAAGCACAAGTGCGTGAATGATGTACTTGTGTTGAAGAGTAAGAGCAATTAGTTACTAGTGACCGTCTTCTTCTCTCATTTCCTCAACAAATTCATCTATCTTCTCTGACGTCCACTACGATTTCCCACCGTCAATATATCCTAAATTGTAGATTTAATGATGATGTTTTGTCAAATTCCAACTATAGATGTGTTGGAGTGTACGTGGCAAAAAAGATTATGCCATGTAAACCTTTACTGACGGTCCAAGTCTGGGGATCTTGGGGGTGATAACAGACTTGAATAATGGGCTTGAAATTGCGAAGAAATGATTCACATGCCCTTATTTCAAAACAGCCCAAACCACAAGTACCTTTTCAGTACTTTTCCCTTTAAAATTTGTAGTTTAATTGTTCTTAATACTTTTCATATAGGTAAACTCATGTTTTAAATTATTAAACTCCGGTTTTGTACTATTAATTCTTGTTTGGAGTGTAAGTCATAAATATAACGTAATTTACAATATATTATTTTATTCTTATATTAAAATATTACACATGATGTGACTTGTCACCTAGTTGTTACATAGGCGATAAGGCAGTCGGCTGGCGCCTAGCCTAGCCGTGGTGATAACCATGGCCTCAATGCGCCTGAAGGCTTTCAATTCGCCTCTCTTCCACTTTCTGTGCATGGCAGTCATGCACATTTATTGTCTCAAATATAAAGAACATATTATTACGCATGTTTTGCTAACTAAATCTCTTTTAATCATTCTATAGTTTTTATTGGTAATATCCAATATAAATGCCACTTGTTAACCACTGTTTCATAAAGTTACGTATTATACCATGTTCAAGCATTAAAAAAGTACCAATAATTTTCCTCCTCCTTGCTGGGTACAAAGTCACCATGCTGTGTTTCAATTGTTTTCAGAGTCCATAGTATGGTAAAAAAGCTTGCCCAATTTATGACTGATATCAGATGCTGTTTGATTCTTGGTGGGCTTTCAGAAAAGGTACAGTAAGAGGTTATGTCATTTTCATTCACTTAACTAGTAAGCTGGGATTGCAACCGTTTGATGTGTCAACTCATCTTTGAAGGACCAAGTTTCTGCTTTGCGATCATTGCCGGATATTGTTGTTGCCACTCCAGGGCGCATGATAGATCATCTTCGCAATTCTATGTCCATTCATCTGGATGATCTTGCTGTTCTTATTCTTGATGAAGCAGATCGTCTTCTGGAACTTGGCTTCAGTGAAGAAATTGGCGAACTGGTATATCTAATAATTTCTGTTTTCTACCCTGCAGATATCTACAAACTGAAAATGATATTAATGGTCTTCAGACACTATTATGCTTCCTGTAAATATGGTGTTATTAATGAAAACATATTCTACTCCGTACTAGAGCATTTGACATTCATAATATTCTTTTTCTAATGATGATTGATTTCATGGTAGAAAATCCTCTCTATTTTTTGAATGAGATTAATATTCTCCTCGCCTCCTGATGATCACTCGGTAATGCAATGCCAATAAACTTCTGGTCGATTGTAATATCCTAAAAGATGTACTCCCTCCGTCCCATTTTGGTTGTCTTACTTTCTTTTTTGGTTTGTCCCAAAACGAATGTCTTATTTCCTTTTTTGGCAAGAATTATGTGGTCCATATCATTTCACTTTATTCTACTCAAATCTCAACCACAACTTTTACTCTTCAACCACTTCATTAATAATTGTGCCAACTAAAACAAGGCATCTAATATGGGACGGAGGTAGTAACATATTAACATTTCTCCTGAAGATCGTACTATATTTACCTCAAATAGGAGATAGTTAAAAAATGTGAAGTTTCAGATGAGCACTATTATTTGTTTTTCCTAGTAAGGTATTTTCAAGCTTCATAAGATCATGAGTTATTTGTTTCATCATAATTTGTTTTAAATATATATGATGGATCATATGCAGGTTAGACTCTGCCCTAAGCGTAGGCAGACGATGTTATTTTCTGCTACCATGACGGAAAAAATTAATGAGCTTATGAAGCTTTCTTTGAATAACCCTGTGCGCTTATCTGCTGATCCATCTGCAAAGCGACCTTCAACATTGACAGAAGAGCAAGTATCTGAAACTTCTAACACTTATTTTTTTGATTTAAATATAGAAGAAATTTGAGTCAGTGCCTACTGTTGTCTATAATAATCATCATGCATTAGCACATGTCTGTTAAAATTTCTAACAACTTACTAATGCATACGAGCAGGGTGGTTAGGATACGGCGAACGCGGGAAGCAAACCAGGAAGCTGTGCTTCTTGCCTTGTGCTCCAAAACATTCACATCTAAAGTGATTATTTTCAGGTTTCCTCTTAAGAACTTAAAGAAGCTTTTGTTGTAGCATATGTGTATGGGGGGACTCACTGGCTCCACTCCATGTATGAGTACTATTTTTATGACTTAGTATTGAATGCTCACGGGCATTGATGTGAGTATAAAATTTAGGCCAAAACGATCACTTAAGTATTCTGAAATCAAATGTATTCTGAAATCATTTTTTCAGAGTTCTGCACTTAAGTATTACTCCCTCCGTCTCCCTAATATTGGTACGGAAGGGAGTGGTGTGGTTTTTAAGAAAAGTAGAATTATGTGGTTGGTAATGAGTTCATAAAGTGGAAATAAAGTAAGAATGAATTAGAGCCACACAAATGTTACCAAATATGGTATGTGACAATAATAAAGGGACATCCAAAAATGAAAAAATGGGACAATTATAGGGGGACGGAGGGAGTATTTGGCATCATTTTAGGTTTAGTGCTTCTTTCCATGTCCAAAATGTTTTCCTGGCTGAATTATGCTGTTTGGTTTAATACTTCACAATTTATTTTCTACTGCAGTGGAACAAAACAGGCTGCCCATAGGTTAAAGATTTTATTTGGTTTAGCTGGTTTCAAAGCTGCTGAGCTACATGGAGACCGTACTCAAGTTCAGCGCCTTGATGTATGCACATGCAAGAACATATTTTTTCAACTTCATGCTTATCATTTCACCAAAGTATTCCATATGAGTTTTTCATAGTTTTATTTATTTATGCCTTTAGGCATTGGAGCTTTTCAGGAAACATAAGGTGGATTATTTGATAACAACAAAGCTTGCGGCTCGTGTAAGATTTTGTTCATATCCATTAACCATCTAGTCCTTTCTCTTTACATGTTTTTTTGTTTGCTCTTTGTCCAACATTTTTGTTCTCTGATTCCTGTATTGCTATTCATGGAAGATAAACCAGTATGTGAATGGTAGATATTTTCAACTCATTGTGTCGATCATCCATTTTCTTTGTTTCATTTGTTTTTTTTACATTTCAGGGACTTGACATTATTGGTGTTCAAACTGTTATCAATTATGCATGTCCCGATACTTTCACGAGGTAATAAAATAATTTTCTTGCATCATCAGGCATCAAATGGCTTTTCGATCATATCATATGCTTACATATCTATTTTTTCCTCAAGGACATTATTCTTAGTCATTTTGGCTTATTAATGCACAGATTCTTCCAGAATTGTTTTTCCGTGTGGGCTATTTTTTCATCTTTCCCCCCCTCACACACACACACCTAAAGAGTACTACCTCCGTCCCGAAAAAATCGTCCTGGTTTGACCTTCACACAGATTAAGAAAGTGAAGTTGACTTCACACTATAGCGACACTGTTTGGCACTGTAGCGACACTGTTTGACACTGTTTTGCACTGTTTTGCATTGTTTTGCACTGTTTTATATAGATTTGTTTACCAAATAAGGAAAGGAGACAATTATTTCGGAACGGATCAAAAAGGAAAGCAGAACAATTATTTCGGGACGGAGAGAGTATTATATACTCTATTTCTGAAGACCATAATTATTGATTTTATTGATTTAATCTCTTTTTTAATGATTTAATCTCTACTAAACAGTGCACATGCACTTCTACGTCATTAGTAAAATCAGATTATCTTAGAATGTTTGACATAAGATCCTAGCTATACACACCCACCTTGCCACTCACAGTCACCGTTTGTTCCTTTAAATTACTTTTGTTAAACTAGTTACATACATCAAGTGGGACGTACAGCTAGAGCTGGTAAAGAAGGCTATGCTGTTACATTTGTCACTGATAAAGATCGCTCACTTCTGAAAACCATCGTGAGTACTGCATTGCCCTTCTATTAGAATTGCAAATCATGTATTGTTGGCCATTTGGTTCAATAACTGCCAGAGAGAGCTTGAACCCCAACTCAATAGTTGTTATTAGAAACATTTGCAATAAGCACCTATAAACATACTATTGCAATAATGGACAGGCTAAACGTGCTGGTTCTAGCATGAAGAATCGAGTTGTTTCTGAGAAATCAATAATTAAATGGGCTAAAATTATAGAGCAAATGGAAGAGCAAGTTGCAGAAATACTTCAGGAAGAGAGGTTCAATTGTTTTATTTAATCCCACTACCAATGATAGTGAATGTAGGGTTTCAAGTTTAATTGGTTAATTTGGATATTTGCAGGGAAGAAATGGCTATGAGGAAAGCAGAAATGGAAGCAACAAAGGTTTGGCTATATGATAATCCTTAGGTTGATACCAAGAATGATGATGATGACAATGAGAATGAGGGCTTCATTGACCTTTGAGTTTATTTGCTTGGAATCTTTGAAAATAAAAGACTTTGAACATTTGCTGCTGCTAGTTTTGTTCTGTTGTTGACGGCTCGACTTAATACTAGTCATTTTCATGAGTTTTTTAAATTTTATCATTCAATTATACTCCCTCCATCCCAAAACAAACTTCACAGTTTGACTTTCAATCTTTGGCCATTGCTTAATTTATAGTAATTTAGTATTAGTATATCACAAGTATATATCATGAGTACTTCAAGAATTTAGTATATCACAAGTATATATCATGAGTAGTTTAGGAGAAAAACATAACACTCATATTTTGGATTACATATTGTTTTTACTCCTATTTAGGGTAATTTCTTTAGTAGGCAAGAGAAGAAGAAAAGGTGGAAAAAGTAGGAAAGGGAAGATGAAAAGTGAAAAAAACAGGAAAGAGGATGTGTAAGAACAAGGTAAAAGTTTTGAAATATGAAAATGGGTCAAAATAATGAAACTGTTCCCAAGAAGGAATGTATGCCAACTATTAATGAATGTAAGTATTTTATTTAGGACTTGTATATTTGTGGTTACCACCTTACGTAAATGAACTGTGGTTTTTATAAGTATGGTTTGTATGGCCTTAGCTAGCATTTTAAATTTCATTTGGCAATCATATATGTTTGATGTTTTTATTGTAGTAGGAAATAACCAGCTTCTGATGGATATTTGATATAAGTTTCATCAAACAACAAAAGAAAAGATCTGCAGTGTAACATTGAGCATTATTTGTCTAATTCATGAATTTCCAGGCAGAAAATATGATTGCACATAAGAATGAGATTTTTTCTCGCCCTAAAAGAACATGGTTTATGACAGAGAAGGAGAAGAGGCAAGTGGCCAAGGCAGCTAAGGTACAATTGCCACATCTCATAATAAATTCAAAAACTTATTCGTTTGCTTATTGAGATTCATATGCAAATTTTTATACTCCCTCCGGTCCTAAATAAACTTCACACTTTGACTTCACACAAATTAAGGAAATAAATTTGACTTTACTGTAGAGTACACTGTTGTGACACTGTTTGGCACTGTTTTGCACTGTTTTGATGTGGATAATTTGCCAAATAAGGAAGGGAGGAGAAGTGTGAAGTTTATTTTGGACCTACCCAAAAAGGACAGTGTGAAGTTTATTTAGGACCGGAGGGAGTATTAGTTTTCTTGTTCTGTTGACAAGTTACATGAAAATGTCTTTTTCAGGGGTTGGAGTGAGTACCTTGTTATGATTTCATGTATTTTATTTATCTTTAAAAAACATATTTAACAGTGGACATATGAGGCCAAAACCTGTTACAGTAATATACTAATGTAAATTTACACATTTTAAATATACCTGGATATTTTTCAACCAGAACTCTATGGAGAATGAGAAGGATTGTGCAAACAAGGTAGTAAGTGCTGAACAAGCAGAAGATCTCAGGATGAAGGAAAAGAGAAAAAGAGAACATGAGGTGTGCTCTTTTTGTCTGGCATTTATGTTGATTTATTGATGGTGTTCAACAACTATATGTGAGTCCTGTTAATGATTATATTTTTTTAATAATATGCATGATAGAAACATCTGCCTAGAAAGAAGAGGAGGAAGTTGGAAGCGGCTCGAGAACAATTAGAAGATGAGAATTCTTCAGACGATGTATGCATGCATCTGTTTTTATAAGTTTCAATTTTGCTGATGAGTTTATGACAATTTCATTATGTGCATGTGGTTTGTACATCTCAATCTTGTAGAGAGCATGTCTATAATGAACTATCTCAACTCATTGACACCTCATGATATTTTCTATGCAAGTTGAGAAAAACATATGGTGTCGGCTGTTATGGAGTTCGATTCCGCCAGACTATTCTATTTCATTCATTCTCCATTCAAAACTGTCTGCTCCGGGAACCCATAATCTGACTATTCTTTCATATGATTTTTTTCGTGAATTTGACATCCGACCATCTGTCCTTGAATTGTGTCACACAATGGGTGTTTGGTGTAAAATGTTGCCTCTGATTTGTTTGCATTAATTTACAGTGTGAACAGTTCTAGACAATTTATTGACACTAATAGGTTTTGAAGATCAGTTAACAGGCATTCAGCAATAGTATTACGGTCAATGTCAATGGCATGCATTTTTTCTAGCTTGTACCATTTTTTTCCGGTTACATCTGTGTAATAAAGTATTAGTTTTGAGATTGCATTATAGCTTTTCCTTTGTTCGTAAGATGTTGGAATGCATCAATATAAAATGCATCAATATAAAGCAGTGGGATAATAGTAATGCGGATTTCTGTTGCAGAGAAATGACAAAACAAAGAAAGGTAAGAAGGGTGAAATAAAGCTTGTTGATATTGCGTACCGTCGGGCAAAGGCAGTGAAGGCTGCAAAGAAGGCAGCTGATGCTGGAAAGGTCATAAGAAAGGCAGGGAAAAACAGAAAACGAACTGCCCAAGTAACTCAATCAAGGACTGAGGAGATGCGAGAACTATTCAAAGGTGATATGAGTGAGGATAAAATGAATAAACCCCGTTCTGCTGCTGGAAAAAAGAAATCCTCATTCAAAAGCAAGTCAAGGTATGACACAACCCACACTCTGTCCCATGATGTGTTTATATTTTTGTATAGTAGTGAAGTTTTTTCACCAGGCAGATTTTTTATCATCACAATATATTTCCATCTTGTCTCCTTGCACCGCACCCCTAAGAGTAACTAGGATGAATTGAGTGTTGTTGGATTTATTTAAAGATGAAGAATCAATAAAAAATTGAAAAATTATTAAAAAGAAAGTAGACAGAACTTTCTGGAATGATACAAGAAGAAAAGTGAGAAACATTTTGGGGCAGAGGGAATTGGTATTGATTTCTTGTCATCTTTTTGTTATATGTCTTCTGTATTTTTTATAATGAGATCAATAATCGGAATCTGCCACCAGCCCACCAATACTAAATTCTTAGGGCAATAATTTAACTTTACCATTACTTGGTCAGTAGATTGGGCTTGGCTTTCAATCGCTGTGGTTTTCACCTTTTCTTACTGTTTACTATCCAGACTGTTTATGGAAACTTAACTGTTTATTTCTTAAAATGGTACTATCTGCAGGTATAAGCGAAGGTAATAGCTCGTTGGGTAGAACTGATATTATTTAATTTGACGGTAGAAAAGCTTATTTGACACCATGAGGCTAAGTTATTCAAAAGCGGACACTTGAAGAAACAATTTGGAGTTCATCCATTAACACACACACACGTGTCTGTGTGTATACAATGCTTGGTTGTACCATCAGGTCCTTCAGATATAGTTTTCCATTCTATTCAATTGAAGTTAGTGTTCCTAAAATGTATCCCATTGCACAATTTTTATTTGCTACATAATCGTAAACAGATACGTCATCTGTTTATGAAATATATGCACTTTTTGTAAATGTGTACTTGTATTCATAATCGTGCAGATCTTTGGTTGACATTCCACATTTTTTATGTTTCCATCTGTTTTTAATCTTTTTGTGAATCATAATCCATGGGCGAGGGAAGTTGGTCCAAATGCTATTGAAAAGTATATGGAGTGTTGATTACACAGTCACATGTTATCAGTTTTTGTCGTCGTTGGGTATAGGGATGGACCGGTTCGGGCCTGGCCGGGCCTCGGTTCATGAAAGGGGAGGCCCGGAACTGGCCCGGGTAACCCCCGGTTCCGATCCGGGCCGGGCCTCGGTTCTTATATTTTTTTTTGGCTTTTCCTAATTAACCCCCCAACCCTGCCCCCTCACCCCAAACCACCTCAAATGGTCCATCATACCCAGCCCAACCCAAAAACTTAAAAAAATTCAAAAAAAAAAAAATTTGGCCTGGACCGGGCCCGAACCGGCTGGGCCGGTTCACGATTTAGGAGACCCGGGCCCAGCCCGCCTACCTCACCGGGCCGGGTGGCCCGAACCGGGCACCAACCGGTTCACCGGGCCGGTCTGGGCCCGCACAGTAGCGGGCCGGTCCAGTTCTAGGCTGGTTGGCCCGGCCTGAGTCCACCCCTAGTTGGGTACTTCAGACAACTTTAGTTGGATATGAATCACATGATTGACTGTCGCCACCGTCAACCATTGGGTATTTGTGTTCATGGTTCGCCATTTTGGCCACAACAATTACTATGAAGTATGAACAGAGAAATGAAACTGAATAAGAAGAAAACATGAACCCAAATTGTTTTAAGAAGAAAACGCCTATCTGTTTAAAAGACAAAATGATTGTTTAAAAGAACAACAGCTCACAATTGAGCTTGAATCTTACCATTCAACAGTATTAGCGTATCTAAATTTGACTGATCTAAAATCTAAATGAGTGCCGCAGAAGGAAAAAATGTTTAACATAAATAACTTTTATTATTCAATGCCCTATCTTAAGTATGAAAGTTATACTGTAACTTTTATAACTTCCTTCGACAGCTGTATGCCTGTATCAGTATAAGAAGGCTGCTGTCATATCTTCTTCATTAATCATCTATGGCTATAACCATCAGAAAACTGATTGCCTCCATCAAATAAATGATAAATACTCTCTTAAAAGTGATCCAAAAAGCCACCAAAAAAGTTGTATTTCAATGGCGATTGAAAAAGTTACAAGGGTAAGGCTCCCACCCACCCTCAGGCTCTCTCCGTTTCTCACCAACAGTGGAACTTGTTGATGGTTGTGAGATGGGCTGAAGAAGAGGGTCCAAATATTGTCGGTTCAATTCTCTGGCATCAGGAGGTGGTGGTGAAATCATCAAGCCACTGTTGTTCAGATCAAAACCACTTCGCGGTGTCATTATCGGTTGCCCATACGGTTGCAGTTGAGGGAAAACATGAGTCATAGCCAAAGTGGGTCCCACCATGCGAGGTGTAACTGGGACTTCTCTAAAATCAACCATGCAGGGAACATGGCCCACCGATCCATAAGCATGTCCAGGTGCTGTTATACGGTTGTAATTATTTTTATAACCTGGGGCCGGGCGAGGGTATGCAAACAGGGATTCCATCCCCTCAGCACTATTATGAACGGGGTCCAAGGGCATTTTTGGATGTCCTGGTACAAGAGACTCTTTTTTGTTCAAGTCAACTCTCATGCCCATGATGGACACAGCATGTAGAGAATGGTTGGTGAAATTGGACAAGTGATTTGAGGAATAATCATGAAGAAACCCCCGATTGTCGTTTAGGTCAATGTTAAGAAATGAGGATGAGGAAGATGGACGAGATTGACTTTGGTGGAGACTGTTTGGATATGAAGATAGCAGTCGTCTCTCCATCCCCCTCCAATCAGTTGGATGAGCTTCTTCGGTTACACAGTTAAGATCAACATCAACCCCCCTTAGAGGCATTTTGGAAACACCCGCTGCTTCATCTACAGAAGAAGACTCCTCCCCAGCAGCAGCCATGTTATTATCTTCTTCATCTCTGGTGTTCAAATCCAGACATCTCTTAGCTTCTCCTCCAACAGCAGCGTCTTCATCACACATATTTAGATCAATATCAAGGCGGCAGTTGCTATGTTGCTGCTCCGCTGCATCTTTTTCCGTGAACACTTCTTGATTTAAATCAAAATCACATGAACCCTTCACACCAATAGTTACCAGAGAAGAATCCATCAGGTCTTGTGTTTTATCGACTGCTGAAATATTTACATCCCCCCCACCAACAGCCCGGGAAGCATCATTATCACAAATAGGAGGACAGATAATTACCTTTTGTGCCTCCTCCCCCTTGTTTGAGGAGGAATCAGTTGTAGTAGTAGTACTAGTTTCGCCGTGTTTTTCACTCTCAGAATCTGATGTTGGAATGCTATTGGTGGTCTCCTCATGATGAACTGTGGCTGTCTTTTTCACAGAGCTGTGCTCAAACTCTCTCCCCACTTCCATGGCAACTTGCAGAGCTACCTCTATTGGATCCATGATGCCGCAGCAGCCCAAATCATGATCATTAGATTTCTTGATACTAATCATATCAGCAGCATCTTTATTCCCCATGTAAAATTGTCCAAATGGAAGATCACCATCACTTTCATAACCACTATGATCTTCCTCATCAGACTCCTCCCTTCCAAAATTGCTTCTTTTGGAACTTTCATTAGCTTCAATCACCACAGGCGTTGTGCTTCTGCAATGATTTCCATATTCACTTCCTTTACCCATTGCATCCTTTGTTTCAGCATCTGATGAGAAAACTGTGTCATCTAATGTATCTGAACTGCCTGTTTTCTGTCTACCCTTCAAACCCTCATTAGAATTGTTTTTACCCTGTTCATTCAGAGTGCCATGTTCTGGATGCATCAACTTAGTGCTTTCTTCCTCATTATGAAGATCGCCATTTTGCATTGTCAGTGAAGGAGAGTTCACATAAGTGGATGGCCCATTTTGCATTATTTTATACTCTAAAGATTTATCAGATGCTTCTTCAGATCTCAAAGAAGGAAGAAGATTGTCTCTATCATGTTCATTGCACCCTTCGTCTGAATGACGAACAACCCCGCATGAAGATTCTGACAAACCTTTTTCTTCTAGATTTACAAGTTCAACATCCATGGAAACAGAAACTGTACCTTGCTTCCATTTATCAATGAGAGCTTTTGCCATCTCTTGCACCTTTAAACTCTTGTGACCAAGGAGCTTCTCAACAGATATTCTGATTCCAGAAGAAGCTGATTCCTCGTTGCACACATGCACCAACTTCTCTACTGCCCGAAGTGAATCAGTGATCGACTCTTCTATTCTGAAACTAATATTATTATTATCATCATCATCATCATCATCATCAATCGAGTCATTAGAAAACTTCTGAACGTCCTTCAGCCAACTGTCAATAAAATTCAGACCATCTAAGTGAATAAAAAGTTGAAGACAATCTTCATTATTAGTTGCAGCTATGGTGCACGCAACAGCAGACCACTGTTTAGTTGCATCAGCTATACTCCGATTGGCATCACCATCTTTTTCCTTTTGTATAATAGCAATAAGCTCCTTGACCCGAATAGGAGTCTCAAGCCCATTATTAATTTCGGTCAAATCAAAGAAGTCCTCAAGTGTCTTCATAATTAATATATAATATTTATGACATCATATGCTTACCCTGCAGAATAAAATCAAGAATTAACGCACTGCAATACTGAAGGCCAAAATATAATTATCAAAAGTGAATAATTTTGAATATGAAAATGAAAATAACAAAAGATGCCCAACCCCAGGAAAAAAAGGAAGAAAAAGAAAGCTTGACTCTTACTTCTACCAGAAAGTTGAAGTGCTGTTTAATACGGAGTAGTTCTTAGTGCACAAGTGTCCGTGTACGACTTATGCAGGTCAGTAATGATCAACTCAAAGTGTGATGGCCTTTATGTTCTATATTTAATAGTTAAGGCAGCCAAATGCTTCTAAAGGATTTCAAATATAAATGTGATTTCTTCCTCATTTTGTCTTAGTTTTAAATCAATCAATACCTCATTTTGTAGGGAAAAAGAACATGAAGCTAGTTGGATACATAGAGGTGCATGTTATTCACTACTAGTTCCATTTATGTCACATGAAATTACACCAATTAATGTGAACCCCAAACAGTAGGTATACTACACATTTATTTGACATTAGAGTACCGCCATAACTGTGTAAGTATGCATTCTAATGGTAAAATACATATGGCATAAATTGTTGGAAATGCATGCAACAAATGGTTCAGAGTCTGACTTAGTAATGATGTTAACATCGAACGATTGACAACACAACACCCAATATGGGTGTTATTGAGTCATATCAATCTAGTGGCAAATTATATCATGTTTTAATAATATCAACATTTCAATTCTTGAAGAGGATGGTGGTTCCCCTTACAAAATTAAGGCTTTTTAAACTTGTCCTGGAATTTACATTTTGGTACAAAGTCTAATAGTTGCACCACTTGCACGTGTTATCTCCATACTTCATATGTATCCCTGAGAACAGCCTTTGGAGAAACTCCTACTGCACAGTCACGATCAGGATTCAACACAAATAAGTACTTAAGTTCTTATCACCTTCCCCACCCCTCAACAAAAGTATTATACATTGAATGGGCATTAAGCAGTAGAGGTTTTACAAATATAACCATATAAAGATTAATAGTAATGTTAAAAACTTCTACTTGCATATGGTTGACTCACACATGGTGATTGCATTCTTCTCACTAGCTAAGAAGGTAATGGGGAGGTCTAAATTGAATAATAGCCTTTCTTAAACCATAACTTCATTAGAGAATAAAAAAGTATGAACACCGAAGAGATCCATATTTCAATACCCAACAGAGGCAAATAAAAAAATATTTCATTTGCAAAAGGAAAATCTGTAGAGCAACGTCACCCTGTTGTTCAGCACAAAGTACTACCGGTACAAAACAACAATCGAGCAATTCAAAACTTAAAATAAAGGTTTGTACGAAATAAGCCATATCACAATTACCCAATCGGCAGATAAACCCAAACCTGAAGAAAAGGAAGAAAGAAGATCATTTTTTAAGAAAGAAAATCATTGAAAAAGGATACTAGGATACATAATTAAAAACTGGGTGGATGAATGGAGTAAATATTTAATCCATGACTCCAACTTGAAAATAACTGGACCAATTAAAATACCCAAAAAAGGAGAGAGCGAACTTATTAGTTGGTGATTTAAAAAAGAAAAGGAAAACAACTCGCAAGAAACAAAATTCATTCATTTCATTGTAATAGAAGGAGCAAGTGAGACCCCAAGAGAGTACAATATTACTATCGAAGCCTAAAACGTTAGGCATATTATAGCAGTTAATGCAGCTAGATAATCAATCGATGAACGTAAATCTCGAAATGATTACAAGACTTAAAAGTTCAGAAGTAATAATAGAACAGTGGTTTACCTCTTCCGAGAATGGGAGTAAACCCTAACTGGAGCTGCAATTCGATACCAGAAACCCGGTGCAACCCCGTATCTGAGATTTCTACGGAAGTCAACAGCTGCCGCTGGTCTTCTTCAATATTATCATTCGCTGTTTTCTGAAATCACATGGAAACCCCTGTGCGTTCTGCTTTCACGCCCGGCCCTACTTTTCTTTTAGTTTTCGTTCTTTTTCCCTGTTTGCCAATTTCAACTGTCTATTATGTCGAGTTTGGGTTTCTTCCAAAGTAGCTGGTCTGCTTTTGAGGTTTGCCAGCCATTATTGGGCGGGGCACGTGCCACACGACTTTGACTTCCGGAAATTGTTTTGCAATGTTTTTTTGTTGAATCCCCAATCTCACGTCTAGCCTCGACAAGACATTTTGAGCGTAAATTGTTTCAAATTTCATATATTTGGTGTTTCTATAAACTCATACTCATCTGTGTTAATAAAATTTGCTCCATGCATAAGAGTATTGAATATGAGTGAAATGTTTAGATGTTGACATTGTGGTTGACATTGTTGAAAAAAATTTACCAAGAAACCCGTAAGATCATGGAAAAAAGGTGAGAAAAGTGCCGTGAATTTAATTTTGTGTGTCTATCTCTCGCATGCCACATGTACACCGTGCACAATTGTAGCATTGAAAATGACCTTACACAATTCACTGTGCGAGTTCAAAATTTTAGTGTTTGATAACAAAGATGTCTGAGAAGACTGATCAATAGAAAATAAAAGCAACCAAATGGTCCTTTATCTTAAGCTTTCTTGATTACGTTTTTTAATTGTGTTTGGAATCATCTAATTTAGAGCCCATTTGGTAACTTTGTTTTTCGGCTTATCAAACTTATCAACCTGCTTTTTTATCGAGTACGTAACTTTTGATTTAGCGTGCTGAATTGTGTAATAATAAGAAAAGTAAGGTTGAAGTTACTTTTCTAATTGCATTGACTGGAGTTACTTCATAGGATCATTTTAGTTGTTTTTATATAATTTTTTCATTATTTTATTAAAAAATATTGTACATATAATTTTTTTCATAAATGAGTAAAATCAGCCAATCCAACCAAAACTTCATAAATTTCATCAGAATCAACTTATACAGCCAATTTGGCTATTACCAAACAAGTTCTTAATGAATAGTTTAAAATATGATCTCTCTATCCTCACTCCCTAGGAGTATAAATACAAATTTTTTATTTGAACAACACATAATTTTATCAGGTCAACTTATGTTTCGACTTTCTAAAATGTTACACCCTCCGTCCCACTAAGATTGTCTCATTTTATCTTTTTTTTTCCGTTCCACTAAGATTGTCTCATACCAAGAGGGTGTTTGGAACTGATTCTGTTTCTGCTTCTTTTTTAAAGCAGAAGCAGAAGCAGAAGCAATTTTTCAGAAGCAGGTCACCCCAACTTCTAAAAAAACTGATTCTAGGAATAAATTAGAGCACCAGAATCACTTGTGCATTTTCACCCAATGATGTGAGTTTTCTCGCACTTAAAATAGATCGTAGAATAGTGGTGTAAGTACGAGTATCGTCTCCATAGGGACGGGAAAAGGGAATTAAGTATTAATTAAATTCAGCGATAAAAAGAAATAAATAAAATGCATTTGTGCGTGATTTGATTGATTGCAAAATAAAACTGCAAATAAAACGATTAAACTAAAATGTTCTTTCTAATTAATGACGAAGAAAACAAAGATTGATTCTGGGGTAATCAGATTTCCGACTGATCAGGTTCAATCACAAGAAATTAATTTAATTGAGCCTCGCTAATCATTACTAAGTTCTTACCATTCTCGCGGCGTAGAGTACAATAATTTAGGGGATCAGACTGATCTCTCATGCGACAGGATCCTAAAGTTATTGCCAAAACGAGCGAGCGTACGGCTCCTTAATCGTTACTAATCTCTTAGCGAACGATTAAGTGTGCGTGAAGGTGTCTTAAAATAAATTAGATCTCTCTTAATTTATTCTACAAACAATTGTAATTCTAGCCGCGTATCTAGATTACAAGAGATTAATTAAATTATTCAAACACAAATTAAATACAGTCATGCGATTAATCCATCATGAACCTAGGCATACATCATAATTAACCTTTTCATCAACCCCAAATCCCTAATTAAGACTACTCACAACTCATAATTGAAGAAACAATAGAATTGGGATGAACATAATTAATTGTCATTAATTAAAAAGTAGGAACTTACAAATAATCTCACGGAATTGAAGAACAAGAGTGAAAAACTCTCTAAAATTTGTCGTTATGCCTCTCTCTAAGCTCCTCCTCAAAAAAGGGGTTTATAGGTTGTTTAAATAAGAAAAAACGGATGAAATTTGAGCTGGATTGGGAGATTTGGGGTGAGGCACAACGCCTACAGTGCCTGCGGAGTAAAAAACGCATCCCAGGGTCAGGCACGACGTGCCTGACTGGCAGTAGCTCCATCGTTGTTTCCTCTCTGAATTTGACGATGCTTCCTTCATTAAAGTTGTAGATAATGAAGTGCTCTATCCAACACAACTTGCAAAACTGGATTTGAATCATCCAATCAAAAGATATGAAAAAAATGTTGGAAGATCGCATTCTGAAATCGCAACAGCGATCATCTGACTTCTTCGTCTGTTTTCACCTTCCTACTCTCATATTCTAGCAATAGTGTTTTCACGCAAATTATATCATGGGATCGGCGCACCATGAGGATGGTGTGTCCGATCCCAAAATGACGGAGCATGGCCTGTTTTTTTTGCTTTTGTTGTTAAAAAATGGTAATAACTTTTTTATTTTTGATCCGATTCTTATAAAATTTATATCAACATTTTTTATTTTTCACGATCTTTCAAATGAGACCAATATTGCTTATGTAATTTTAACAAATTATGAAACTATTATATAAATGATTATTGGATTATAAGGAAAACCGAACTAAATTTAATACAAAAAAATAATTATGTAGATCACAATTTATCTTAAAATTGTGTATATAAAAAATCATTGAGTTACATGTCAGTTACATATTTTTATATGTGAAGTTACATATTTTTACACGTAAGTTACATATTTCTACACGCGAGTTACATTTGTATCAACATCAAGTTACATTTTGATTAACATGATTTACATTTTTGATTTCACTGAATTAACTTTTTAATTAACGCACCTTACAATTTCGAAATTTCTCAAGTTACATTTTGGATACACTCGAGTTACATATCAATTTGATAAAAGTTACATCTTGTAACACGCGGTTTACATTTTGTATAAAAGGTGAGAGAACCACTAGAGGGTGTAATATGAGTTACATTCCAGGCAGCGAGTTACATTTGTAGTTAACTGAGATTACATTTTATAACAACACGAGTTACATTTCAATACATAGGATTTACATCGCATAAAATATTGAGACAAAAATTAAATTACATATTTTTACATGCAAATGTTAATATGTTAAAATTACATAGGCAATATGGCAATATTGGTCTCATTTGAAAGATCATGAAAAATAAAAACATTTGATATAAATTTTATAAAAAACAGATCAAAAATAAAAAAATTATTAACAATTTTAAGAAAAGAAGATATAAAAAATAACAAGGGTGCATGGTGCTCACCATGCACCGGTTCCACGGTATAACTACTGGTGTTTTCATATTATTTGTAGCCCTTGAAGTTGTATTTCATATGGAACTTGAATCGTGTTCTCTGGATGTTTCTACAAAAAGATATGCTTGAACGATTGACATAAGGTCATCCTGAACGCCGTTTTCAAGCTCCATTCGTCTTCATTTGATCTCGTAGCCACTCCTAGAGTTTTCTTGTCGTCAAAACTTCATCGTACACCTCTCGGTGACCTCTAAAAATCTCGATTCATTCTCAAATGCATCTCGAATCATCACGATTGCTTCTCAAGCGCTTATGTTGGGCTCATATCACTAATTTTGACTCTAAACAATACAAAACTCGAACCAACACCCGGTAACTATGACTTGAGCTAAAAATGAGACTTGTGACACAAAATAATTAGGGAAATCGTCAAAAGTTGATTGAAACATGCATCAAATGCGTGTCTAAATATGGACTTATCACTCAAACACTCCAACTTCTGCTTCTGCTCCTTGAAGGAGCAGAAGCAGTTTTAAGAATCAGATCCAAACACCCCCCAAATCTGGTAAAATTCGTGTGACTCTAAATCATTTCTACTTTATTTTTACTTTATCAGTTCAATATCAACCACATACACCACTTTTATTAGTTTGTTTGTCATTCCATCTTGTCTCATTGTTAGTGAGACGGAGCGAGTACTACGTATATTTTATGTCAAGCTGAACAAAAAGTAAGCAAAATAGGGGCGATGGTAATATTTGTCTATTAATAAATTATGGACATCTAAACAAGGAAAACTGGAGCTTACTTTTGATGGATGTTGTATTAAAATGAAAATTGTGAATCATTTAATTAAAGCGTAAAGATTTCTAAACAATTACCATATATCTTTAACTGCCACTTTAATCTTCTTTCAAAAGGTTGAATCCCTAACCCCAAGAGCCCTACACACTCTAACGTGGCAAGACTTTTGGGAGGTTGTAAGTCATGATGACTCAGTCAGTCCAATGGTGGTAGACCTTGTACCCGTGCGCACCAGAGGTCCAGCCCAGCACACAGGAGCTGTAACCTCCACACAGCCCCTGTGAGATTCGATCCTTGGTCATTCTTCCAACTTTCTCATCACTCAACCAACTAAGCTACTCGTGCGGATTTAACTGGTGCTTTCAGCAACGTACAAATAGGCTCGTTGCTGGATTAGTAGAGTGGGTCGGGAAGTGTGTAACTGATTATACAGCAGACTCTTAATTTGATCTTATTATTCAGGAGATAGGGTGAAATTAATTATTCATTTCATTTCTTGTAAAGGTTATACGATCGACTAGTTCATATACCTGTATATAGTAAGGGCTAACCTTTCAAATACAAGAAGGTAGAGTAAATTTTGACACAACCCCGAGTTACATTTCTAGCTAGCCCTTGGGCGAATAACTTTTTGATTTAATGAGTTTGGCAATTTATATTATTTATAAAAAAAACATGTGTGTAACCTTCTTTAAAATATAGATGTTTTTATTATAATTAATTTCAGTTTTTGTCTAGATCAGACTAAACGTAAGTATCATTTACTAATGACTTAATGAACATGATGAGAAAGACAACTTAACCGTTCAATCATTAAGTCATTTATTTACAACTTAATTGAAAACACGACTTATTCATTCCGTCAAAAAACTAATTTAATATATTAAATTGTGAAAAGGTTGTTTACTTTTTCTTTTAAGAAATTGTCCTAAATGGGACTAAAACATGGCTAAAACTTCAAAATAGGACTTCAAGTTTTAAATTTCCTAAATGGGACTCCAGATTACCTTTTTGCCCCTAATCCCTAAATCACCTTTTCCCCAAATCCCTCTGCATCGATCGCTAGACCTACAACTCGCCTTGCGACTCAACTGCCATGGACGCAGCTCCTCCTCCTCCTCCTCCTCCTTCTTCTTCTTTTTTTCTTCTTCTCCTCCATCTCCTTCTCCTTCTTGTTCTTCTTCTTCTCCTTCTGTAAATGTCATCTTTCTATTCCAAAATGCAAACATTATTTTAACATCACACTACACAAGATGTCATTTTTTAAAAATTGACATGTTTATTTTTTATATGACATTTAAGGATAGAAACATGACATTCGCAATTGGCATTTTCAAATATTGTAATGACATAAAAGTGTCATTTTGTAAAAATACCCAATAATTATGACATTCTCTTATTCAAAAAGTGACATTTTCTGGAATCATTAGTCAGGGCATTTTGAGATTCAAAGTAACCAAAATTGACAACAAGAAACTCAAGAAGAAGAAGAATTCATAAAATAGGAATTATGGTCCTATTTTGTGATTTTGCTGGAGGGAGAGGTCATGCACTAACGATTGATGGTGGTTGGTGCCTCGCTGGAGGGCGGCAGCTGGAGGGCGGCGACTGGAGGTTGTGGTCTGATTGGACGGTGGCGATGGTTCTATTGCTGGATGGTGGTAGCACCATTAGAAGCAGCAATAGGGAAGCGATGGAGGCTGGTGTGCGTCGCTGGTGTGCATCAGTAGCGCTACAGAACATTAGTTTTTTTTAATTAAGGGTAGTTTTGTCACATTACCTCTTTTTAGTCATATTTTTGTAAAATAAACATAGGAGTCCTATTTTTGCAATACTACATAGTTTTAATCCTATTTAGGTAAATCTCTCTTTTCTTTTTTATCAAGTCCTGTCCGGATTAAAATGATGAAACCCGCGATGACCCTATAGGATGCGGGGACGAGCTGCACTGGAGTAATCCAGAGGTCCCTGAACAAATCCACATGGAAGCGGTGCCGAGGCAATACCAGACCAGCCATTACTGAATCTAGATGCACCATCACATGGCCGAGCAGATGGCGCATGGGATGAAGAACTCGACGAACGTCACATCCTCTCGAAGGAGGAAATAATTGACGGACCATGACTTTATGACAAGGGAGCAGACACTGGCGTTGACGCCGAATACAAGAAAAATTAAGGGAATAACGGGGAGGCCGAGGTGGCATTCTTCGCTCGTAAAACTTGAGATCATCCCCAGAGAAACACCCATCATCCACCTGATAGGATTCTCAGAGGGACGAGAACTTGAGGTTGCTGACTGACTAGACATGACAAAGAACGGAGATGGAAACAAGAGCTTACCAAGAATCAAGAAAATCTAGAGAGAGAAAAAAAAGGGCAGGATAATGACTAAAGAAGGAAGTATGACAGTTTCCTTTTGAAAATGGAGTACTTGTAGGGAAAGCCGTCGGGCCTACCCAATCAAGGGGAGACACGTGGCAAACCATGTTTGGTGGACCTCGCGGAAGACGTGACGTTTGGATACCCATGCCAACCAAATATGCTCGTGTTTGGGAAGCCACCCTACAAGAGGGAGACGAGCGTCGGCATGATCACCAGGCCAGAACCCTGAGAAACAGATTCCACGACGTACGTCTCCGGATCTCACCCTACAGGCTTTACCATATCAAAGGTATACTTCCCTCCGAAAAAAGAAAAGGAAAAAAAAGATGTCGGGATGGCACGAACGGTTTCAGTTACAAAAGTAAGATGCCTGAGCTGAAAGGGCAGATGGACGTCCCCGTCCCCAGAATCTGAACACTACGCACAGAAGAATGCTAAGCGAGGGGACGATCATCTTCCAAAAGCATACGGAACAAAATAAAGGATACATAAAAAAATACGGAGTTAGTTACTTTACAAAAGTAGCACATCCATGATGCAAGGGAAAAGATGTCTGGAGGGCATGAACGGAGTTGATTACTTTACAAAAGTAGCACATCCATGATCCAAGGGAAAAGATGCCTGGAGGGCACGAACGGATTCAGTTACAAGAAGAAAGGATGCCTGAATAACAAGTTCAGATACAAAAAAGAATACCAAAAGAACAAGCAGGACCATTGAACAATGTTTTCAACGAAAGGTGAATTTTAATCTTCGGCGCTACCGGCCAGAATTACACACACCAAATTCAAAATAAGAGAAGAATATATCAAAGGAAGCCATCATCATGGGATCGACGTGCGGAGGCATCCGACTCGACCTCCTCTTCATCAGAGCTCACGTCCGGGGTTGGGGGATCAGGAGCCTCGCCCCTGTCCACGGCTTGGGCGCACCTTTGATCCTGCCCCAATTTCTCGACAGCTATCAGCAGACACTTGTCCTTTGTGTGGTCCGCCAAGTTCAAGGACAGACTATTGAGCTTTTGGAGAACATGTAGCACGACCTTCACACCAAGATTGTATCCTTTAAAGAAGCCATCATCGGCTACATCAACCAAGAATCGCTGGCTGAGTGGGTTTCTCCTCAAAAGTTGCACCCTGTGGGCCAAACACTCCTTCTTCTTCTTGGCTTTTAGTTCAACCTCAAGAACGTCCCCAACACACCCATGGCAGTACTCGTAGGCCATGGTCATGAAGAGGGGCGTCTTCTTGAACTCGGAGGCGTCGAGCTCAATGGGAGCAACGTTGCTAGAAGCGGTTTCACCTTTGGGGGCGGGAGATGGGGCGGGCACCAGCTTAAAGCCATACTCCTCCAGCTTGGCCAGTTTGGCCAAGAGGCCCTGCCTCTCCTTTTCAACCAAGTCAAGGGCGGCCTGGAGCTCATTCTTTTCCTTTGCAGCTGCCTCCTTGTCCTGCCGAGCTGTCTCTCAGGCCTTCTTCAGGGCCTCATCAGTTATCCTCTTGGCCTCCAGGGCATTCTGCTCCCTGGTAGCTTCTGCCTGCAGCAGGCTCAGCCCAGACTGAAAGGGAGAGGATCGTAAGAAGAAGAACATGGTATAACACTTGAAGTAAAAAGACAGAAGAAGGGGGGATATGTACCTCGAGGGTGAATGCCAGCGCATGGCAGACGACCTCAGCCAAGCTGCGGGGTGGCTATTGTACCCCAGTTCGGAGGGCAACCTCCCTCCAAATCTCCATCACCGGATGGCCCAGGGAGGACAGCCCGACGTCAACGGCCTTAGGATTAGAGGGGTCAGGCCAGGACCTCTTCGTCCTCTTCTCCTTGGCCTTCTCCCCGTAGGAGGAGGAGCGAAGTTCAGCGGCTCGACATCCCGAGGCGTGCTTATTTCAAGAATGGGGGGCTCCGAGCCTTGCCCCATAACCACCTAGATCAATGCTTGTTCGGCCTCCCCGGTATGCCGGTCGACATGAGAACCAGCGGAGAACGCTACCTCAGAAGATTGGGCAGCCTTGGCCTTATCCAACGCAGCCTGAAGCTTGGCAGCTTTGGCTCCCCACTTGGCAATGTGAAGATCTTTCTCCATCTGTTCCTTAGTGGGGGGGGGGGGGGGGGGGGAGTCCTGAAACAAGAAACAAAAAATGTTGGGTCGGGCGATGCGATTCTCAAGGGCGCTTACCTCAGGGAAGGGACCGCCCGGGCCACAAGATAACCACAATCGAATGTTGATCCAGGGAACACGGACGGCACCTATCCCTGCATCGGTAAGATCTTGCTCCATCTGTTCCTTAGTAGGGGGAGTCCTCAAACAAGAAACAAAAAATGTTAGAGCCGGACGATGCGAATATCAAGGGCACTTACCTCAAGGGAAGGGACCGCCCGAGCCCACAAGATAACCATAAGCGAATGTTGATCCAGGGAACACGGGTGGTACCCATCTCTGCATCGTATAGCGCTTTGACTGTCTCACCAACTGTCAAACTTGTTGATGGTTGTGAGATGGGTTGAAGAAGAGGGTGCAAATATTGCCGGTTCAATTCTCTGGCATCAGGAGCATGGGCGGAGCTAGGAGTGGGCCAACCTAGGCCATGGCCCACCCCAAATTTGAAAAATGGCTAAATTTTTAAGGTAAAAAATTTTGTGTAAATCTTTTTCTAAAAATATTCTTTGTACCGGCCCAGTCTGACTCAGTGTTCTAGCTCCGCCCCTGATCAGGAGGTGCTGGTGAAATCATCAAGCCATTGTGGTTCAGATCAAAACCAATTCGTTTTTTTATAATCCAAGTGTCGGGGTTACGCTCCCATAATCCTGGAGTCTATGAACTCCGTGAAGGTAGGAAAACCCATTGGGAGCAAGACTTCCCCCATCTCACTTTGGTGAGAATTGAACCCAAAACCTCTCACAAAGGAGAGATTTGGGAGTGGATGGTCATCCATTGGACTACACCCAACTTCCGATCAAAACCACTTCGCGGTGTCATTATCGGTTGCAGTTGAGGGAAAACATGAGTCATGGCCAAAGTGGGTCCCACCATGCGAGGTGTAACTGGGTCTTCTCTAAAATCAACCGAACATGGCCCGCCGATCCATAAGCATGTCCAGGTGCTATTATACGGTTGTAATTATTTTTATAACCTGGGGCCGTGCGAGGGTATGCAAACAGGGAGTCCATCCCCTCAGCACTATTATGAACGGGGTCCAAGGGCATTTTTGGAAGTCCTGGTACAAGAGACTCTTTTAGGAATAATCATGAAGAAAACCCCGATTGTCGTTTAGGTCAATGTTAAGAAATGAGGATGAGGAAGATGGACTTTGGTGGAGACTGTTTGGATATGAAGATAGCAGTCGTCTCTCCGATAAGTTGGATGAGCTTCTTCGGTTACACGGTTAGATCTTAAAACTTGGACGTAGTATTTTGTTATTGGTCAATCACATTGCACCAGCAAGTCACTTTAGGAGCCCACTCATATTTGTAAACTGTCTTTTGTTATTTGCCTTTGAGGCTATTCCTTGTGAGGTACCTCAATATTTTCGAAGGTACCGTAGAAATCTCCTTAAAACTTTAGTTGGAAATTAAAGACTTTAATTTAAAACACGAATCACCTTTAACCAATAAAAAAAACTTCCTAGTCAGAAGTGGTATATCCGACATGAAGGAATTTTTTATGGAGTTTAAAAGTTTAGTTTAAAAAACTTTGAAAATGAAAAGCGGCCAAAAATTAAAAAAAAAAACCTAGTCGGAAGTGGCTAATCTGCAGGGGAGGGAGTTTTTTGGGTGTTTTACCAAAACACGGGAAAAGTATGATTCAGTTGCAGATTTTTTTAGGGTTCACCAAAAAGCGGGATTCGGAATTGCGAGTTCCGATTAGGATAAAAAAACTCTCTCCCCTGCAGTCGGATTAGCCACTTCCGACTAGGGTTTTTTTTTTCTAATTTTGGCCGCTTTTCATTTTCAAAGTTTTTTAAACTAAACTTTTAAATTCCATTATTTTTTAAACAATTCCTTCATGTCGGATATATCACTTCCGACTAGGAAGTTTTTTTTATTGGGTAAAAGTGGTTCGTGTTTTAAATTAAAGTTTTTAATTTTCAACTAAAGTTTTAAACTAAATTGGCCAATTTCGTTCATGTTTTAATTTTTAAATTGGCCTAATTTCTCTTTTTTTAATTAGTGGCCAATTTAATTTTTCTCTTTCGGATAGGGAAAGAAATCAAACTATAAAAAGTTTAAGTTGCGATTTAAGAACTACAAAACAATATGTACTGAAAATTGAATAGTAGAGTTGAAGTTAAAATTACAAGTACTACCCATATAGTAGAGTTAAAATCAAACTCTCACTCATGCGAAACAGTTTTTAAGATGTAATTGCCACCATACGTGTACCCATATGGAAGACGGTCATGTTGAATGACCTGTCCTCCTAAGTTTGGGACAGGGAGTGTGATGTGATTTTTAAGAAACAGTAGAATCGTGTGGTTGATATTGAATTGATAAAGTGTGAATAAAGTAAAAATGGTATGAGTTTTTAAAAAGAGCTTTTAATCTTTATCAATTTTATACCCAATTTTAAACACGTGGACTACTTGGAGTCTTCTTATTATTTTTAATCTAGAAATCATAATAACTTCTTTATTTATCATCAGATTTATTTAAAAAATATATCAAATTAAATGATTTTTTATGATCTTTCATATGACACCAATATTGAAAATGTAATTTTTAATGACATTATCGCATTATATTATACTAAGTAACAGTTGCTCCATCCGTCCCGCTAAATTTGTCTCATCTTTCTTTTTTAGAGTGTCCCACAAAGACTGTCTCATACTCTCTCCGTCCCAATTTGATTTGCAAAGTTTTCGTTTTTTAGTCGTCCCAAAATGGTTTTCCACTTTCTATTTTAGGTATGTAAATAAGAATAAAGTGACAACTTTACCCTTAATTTTACTTTTTCCCCATTAACTTAAAGATATCTACTTTTAGAAAGATGAGCAAAAATGTAAAAAGAAAGCATCATTTATTGTCATTTCTTAATCCTTGTGCCGGTCAAAGTTTGCAATTCAATTCGTGACGGTGGGAGTATCAAATTTGGTAAAATCTATGTGTTCTAGACCAGTCTTTCTCTTGAAATATTTTGTGACATTGATCTATATATTATACGGAGTATTATATTTGTTTTTTATAATTATTTGAAGAAAGTAGTTATGTAAAATTCAAGCAATAATGACTTCATGTAAAATCATTTAGAGCCTATGAATTAGGGAACTAAATACCCTAAATAATATAATTATTTGGAGTTCGTGATTTCTCAGAATTTATTTCAACGGTACATAGATTTCACACTTCTATAAAACTTAATAAATCTTTGTCTAAGATTTCACTCTTCTATTAAACTTAATAAATCTTTGCCTATGATTAACAGTTGAACAAAATTAATTCTACGATAACACTTGTACTCCGTATTTCAAATGATCATATATAAAGGCTAATTTGGAAATCAGATCAATAGTGGGATTATTTATCCCTACAAATCCCCTTCCGTTTTTATGCTTTACTATAGTCGGATTCTACAAATCCTACAACAAATTTTAAGGAGAATCCAACTCCCCTGGTAATAAAATTACAACTCTCGTAAAATGGCTTGTCAGACATCAAATGTAATTTATTAATAAATAGATAGTACATACAATAATAAATTTAATACTACATCTAACGTTGCGTGCTCGGTCCTGCTTCGTCCTCGCCGCTACTGTTCCAAGCCCCCGTTGTGTTTCCATGGTAAAATGAGAAACCTTGATGCGTTGAGAATTCATGAGCCGGTTGTGATTGCTCACCCCAACCTTGATGTTCATCTGCATCAACCTCTTCATCATTTCCACCTTCATCTCCATCTTTATAATGGAATATGCCCCGGTGGAGCATCTCTTCATCGCCTACATCCAGGGCCAACCGATGTAGCTGTTCTTGAATGTCCTCATAACTCGCGTGGTTGCCGGCGAGCTGATACACATCGTGAAAGCCTTGCTTCTGCATAAAAATGTAACACGTGTAAATAATATGACACGATATATGTTAATGAATATGGTATGCATTCAAAAACTTACCACAAGACCCCAATCGCGTGCCATCGGGGTGTAGCCTGTCGCGGACACATTGTGAGAAGGGTTCTGGGCACGTGTCATCCCATACCGTCTGTACCATTCTCGGTACCTACCAGTCGCTTCGAGGGACGTAAGTCATTCATAATCAGGATAGTATATATGATTTAGCACGTCCGCCCACAATGTTAAGACACTGGCTCATATGTTGGACTTATTGGTGTGATGATCATTACCCTGCTTTGGATTTTTCGGAATATCTTGCAAAATACTGAACTGCCGAAGAAATCGATTGGGGTAATGTCTTTCACCCATATTGCAAAATATGAGCATCACATCAGCCGACCAAAGCACCATGTCATCAAGGCATTCAATCTGGGTCGTCTGAATCTTCACCCGAGTTTATGACTATACAAAATAGATACATTCATAAATTTCATTAGTATTATATACTACAAAAAATAAATATATAAAATGTGAGTTTATCTAATTGAATGAGTTAAAAATTACTTAAACGCGTCATATTATAAAATGTGAGCTTATCTAATTGAATGAGTTAAAAATTAATAAAATAAATACTTCTAAATAAAAACTTAATTTATAAAATTTAATTTATAAAATTTCTTAAAATAAAACAAAATATAGTCTAATTTATAAAATTTCATAAAACTTCTTAAAAGAAAACAAAATAAAATTTCTAAAACACATCCCCTGGTCGGATATAGCATTTCCGACAGGGATAAATTTGTTTTTTAGTTTTATTTCAACCAAAATAGATAGTATATTACATGAATGAACACAAATGAAAGCAAACAAAAAAATAATCGAAACACATCCCCTGGCCGGATTTAGCATTTCCGACTAAGTTTTTTTTTATTCCTTCGGATTACACAAATAAATTAATGGGAAAAAAAGAAATTCGAACACCCCTAGTCGGATTACACAATTCCGACTAGGTTTTTTTTATTTTGTTTTTTATTATTTTTAATTCCTCCGGATTATATGGCAACATTAAAAATTTTCGAACACTCCTCTAGTCGGATTACACACTTCCGACTAGTTTTTTTTTTTACTCATCAACCAAATTTTCAAAGCTTTTCCTCCTTTCGGAACCGGAGAATCCGACTCCTGTAAATTGGTAACTTCCTAATTTACGAGTGTGGAATTGCATGTGCATGCAAAACTTAGCTTTTTGGTCAATTTTCTATATATTAATTATAAGTCCCGTATTTTGGCTTGTCAATCCCAAAACTTCGGTAAATTGGTAATTTCCTCCAGAAGAAGACTCCTCCGATCCGATCCCCAGCAGCAGCCATGTTGTTATCTTCTTCATCTCTGGTGTTCAAATCCAGACATCTCTTAGCTTCTCCTCCAACAGCAGCGTCTTCATCACACATATTTAATTAGATCAATATCAAGGCGCCGGTTGCAATTGAACTTCTAAAATGTATTACCTAAAAAGTACATAGTAATAGAAAGTAAAAGCTAGAGTGATAGATAAAGAGATAAAATGAGAAAGTAAAAAATTAAGGAAGTGTTCATATTTTTGGATAATATTTTTTCATGACTATTATGAAAAAGTTTTTGTTTAAAATTTATACGGAGTAGTATTTTATTAATTATTAAAGTATCTCCGATGCAAAAATGTGAGCGGTCCATACGTGGTATGATATATCTCCAATAAAAATTAATGAGTAGAACGTCAAGTACAATGTTTAGATATTGACATTGTGGTTGACATTGTTGAAAAAAACTACTTACCAAGAAACACGTAAGACCGTGGAAAGAAGGTGAGAAAAATGTCTTGAATTTTTAATATAAGACTAAAAGCCCATCTGATTGCTAAAATAGGACCACTTCTGCGTTTTATGTTTCGTGGGAGCAAATTGGGATCGATCTGGCAAAAATGCCCTTGCGAAATAAGCCGCTTCGGGTGTCCACGTAAGATTATAAACGTTCGCCAAGACTGCACATCGGGTTTCCAAAAATATGCCATTTGCGCCGAAATTATCAGAAAGAACATAACCGCGCATTCAATTCGAGAGCCGTGGGAGAGCGGAAGTTATTCCATTCAACTAAAAAAGCAAAAATTCCAAAAAATGAAGAACTGAAGAACATCGACGGAGGAAGAAAAGTGACAGTGAATATGGCAGATGACGACTTCCAACCTTCAAAACCTTCTCCCCTGACTGTGCGCATCAATGACGACATGGTAATTTCTTTTTGATTTTACAATTTATGAAGCTTTACATCAAATGTAAGGAATAAATTTTGGAAATTATGGAATAATGGCTTAAAATGCATTGTGTATTTGTGTATGAACAACAAACTACATAATAGATGTCGTAGTACATTGGACAGAAACTAAAGCAATTGATGAGAAACTTCCAAATGCATGCAATACAATATGAGAAATTTTGGAACAATGATTCGAAATGCATGTTGTGTGAATTGCGAACAGAACATGTTGGTTCGAAATGCATTTTATTCCTAATTTTATGGCAGATGATGTGAGGTGATGTAAAGTAAATTCCAAATCTAACGAATAAAATTTGAAAAAGTACAGAGTAAAGGATTGAAATGCATTTATGTGATTGATGAGCAATTGATATCATATTTGTTTGTATTTATGGAAAGGAATTCATTATGGCAGAAAGTTGTGTGTGTTTTAATGTAAACTGGAATTCATTATGGTAGAAAGTTGTGTGTGTTTTAATGGAAACTTTATTAAACTTGAATGCTTAGATGCTTCATGAGAAACTTTCAAATGCATGGAATAATCTGTGAGAATTAAAATTATGGTTCAATGGTTCAAAGTGCATGTTATGTGAATTAGAAACAGAACATGTCATAGTGAAAAGTTGAATAAACTTCCTAATTTTGTGGATAAAAATGTGAGGTGATGGTAGAGTAAACTTCCAAATCTAAGGAATAAAATTTGAAAAACTAGAGAGTAAAGGATTGAAATGCATTTATGTGTTTGATGAGCACTTCATATCATAGTTTGTCTGTATTTATGGGAAGGAATTGATTATTGCAGAAAGTTGTGTGTTGTAATGTAAATTTATTAAATTTGAATGATTAGGTACTTGATAAGAAACTTCCAAATGGATGGAATAACATGTGCGAAATTATAGAACAACGGTTCAAAATGCATGTTATGTGAATTACAAACACATGTCATAGTGAAAAAGTTGAATAAACTTCCTAATGTTGTGGGAAATAATGTGAGGGAATGGTAGAGCAAAATTCCAAATATATGGAATAAAATTTGAAAAAGTAGAGAGTAATGGATTAAAATGCATTTATGTGATTGATGAGTATTGTGAATTGGTATCACATGTCATTGAAAGAGCATTTAGGAAGAAGGAACTGGAGAACTTGGATAGCATGAGAATTAATTGTTATTGCAATTTAAGCGAGGTAGTGAAGAGGATCAAGAAACAATTGAAGGAAGAAGAATTGATAGATTTCAGCAACACAATTTTTGGATGGGTACTGCACATTGAAGAAGCCTCAGTTACAGGACTTGTGTTAGGGTTGAAAATGGGGGGGAAGAAGCCTTAGTTACAGGAGCAGCTAAGCGGACATATATGGAAGAAATACTTTGGAAGTGCAGAAAGTGTAAAAAGAGCTGATGTCCTTGATGCTGTGATGAAGTATAACAGTGATGACCCAGAAGCAGAGAGAGAAGATGATGTTAAGCTTGCGCTGCTGCACGTGCTCTCACATGGACTGTTTGGAAACCAGGTTGCCCGGGAGTTACCAGCGGAATACGTGAACTTGGTGGAAGATTTGGCTGCATTTAATGATTACCCATGGGGTGAAGATGTTTGGAAGCAACTAGTAGAAAACATTGGAAGCAATGTGACGAGTTTGGAGAACTGCAAAGGGACACGACCAACACTACCAGGGTGTTTGATTGCTATTCAAGTTTGGGCTTTTGAAACTTTCCCCGGTCTACAAAAAGCTGGACTCTGCAGTATCAAGGAAGGTCAAGAAAGAGGTATTCCATGAGCCGTGAAGTGGTCATTTAGCAAAAAACCTTCAATGGACGTTTTCAGTGAATTAATTTTCCTCAATGAGAATGTAAGTTTTGTAGTACTATAAGTTGTTTAATGTTTATACTATACATATGGTATATATGCAATGAAAAGTATATGTATTCTTATATGCCATGTTTTAATGCAGTTTGAATGGTCAAAGATGGTGCCTACTGACGATGAAATAAAGAAATTTCCTATATTAGTAAGGAATAGAAAGCTAAGATCGCAAAATGGACAAAGTGGTAGCAGTAAAGATGGAGATAGGGTCGATGGCGAGAAGGAAAAAACCAATACAAAAGAAGAAGATAAGGTGGATGGAGAGAAGGAAAAAACAAAAAAGAAAAAGAAAAAGGGTACCAAGATCAGTGGAAGAAAGGTTACAAGAAGTAGCAAGAGGGTACAAAAAAGGAAGGAAGAAGAATATCAGGTGGATGAGGATGAGGTGGGGGTGGTTGGATTTGGAGAGCAACGAAAGAATACAGTTATTTTGAGGAAAGTAAGGAAAATCACTAAAGAGAATGCCAAGATAATGCCAGAAATCAAAGAAATAAAAAAAAAGGCAGAAGAGACAAGACTCAATACTTGGAGAAAAACTAGAAGAAATATTATCAAAGTTGAAGAAGTTGACACCACAGGAGGAGACAGAGAGTGAAGGTAATGCAAATGAAGTGAATGGAAATGGAAAAAATGAAGAAGTGGCACCAGAATCAAGGCAGCAGGACCAGAGTGCACAAGGAGAAAGTGTGGATACTGGAAAGAAGGATGAAGCATTGGGTACACCAAATTTCAACATCTTTGGGCCAGAGACGCAAGAAAAAATGCGTGATGAAAGAGTGGAGGATGTGATGGAAGGCACTGAACAAGAAAATGAAAAAACAATGGAAGATGAAAACGCAGTGGAAACATGAGATGAAAAAAGAGTAGGGGCAGAAGGAGTGGAGGATGCAAGGGAAGAGACTGAAAAAGGAAATGAAAACACAAAGGAAGATGAGGAAGCAGGGAAAGTAGCAAACATTTGGGAAGATGAGAACAGTCAGTTTGTGGCAGAATTGATAAACAACACAGACACTGTGGAAAAACAAGTGTTGGGGAGTGAGGCAGGAAGGGGATTGAGCAAAATGCCTTCAATGAACACTGAGGTAAGTATTTCTGTGAAATATTTTTTCAAAATGTAGAATAAACATCCAAATGTATCGAATAAATATTGAAAAATAGGAAGTTATGATTTAAAATACATTTATGTGATTCATGATCCATTGATATCATAGTTTATTCCTTCCAAATATAAGGAATAAATTGTGAAAATTATTGATTAATAGGTAGAAAGGCATGTTATGTGAATGACAAACAGTACATGTCATATTACATGAATGGTTAGTTATTTAAGTTTTGGAGTGTGATTTAGTGTAATATATATATACACCGGCTGAAGAGGGTGTTGTCAAGAAGAGGAGGACAAAGCAAATTGCAAAAAGAAGGGAAAGGCTCTGTTATTTTGTGCCAAGAAATTATGGTCCATTTGCAGAGGATCCAACTGAGGCACCACCTCAAGAAAAAATTGAAAAGGTGCGAGAGTTCCTTAAAACTGGATTATTGAAGAGGCTGCGAAAGTGTGATGGTGACATGAAATATAAAAGGGATGATGAAGTAATGAACGGAGTGCCGATGTTGCTGGACAATGTAAAAATTGAGAGTAAAACATGGTTGTACAAGTTGTTTGTGAACAAAGAATGGCTCGATGCAACGGTACATTTTGACTGCAATTTTTTTCTTGTTTTTATATAATGACAGGTATACTTTGTACTGGTTTATAACTTGTAGAGTTGTTGTTTGCAGCATATTGAGGTAGACATGTTCTACTTAGGAATCAAACAGTTTCAGTATAACCTCCAATTCCCATATGCTACATGCAACCCTTATTTCTTACAAGCGGTGAAGCGTGAGCATGAAAAACTTCAGATGTCACAGTCGAAGGTTGAAAAGGCATCTGAAATGGCAGTGATAGAGAGCCATATTGTTGGTAGTTCAGCAACATATGCACTTAGCTGGGCAGAATCTGAGTTTGTTTTTATGCCTTTAAACACAGGACATCACTGAGTTTTACTTGTCTTAGAGGTGAATAAGAGAAAGATCCGGGTGTACAAATCACTTACTAGAAAGAGGGAATCTACAAGGGAAATCAGGCAATATCTCCCAAGTGTGCAATGCTTGCTCCCAAAGATCATGGATGTGCACAAAGTCTATCAAGATATTGGAGAAGACCCAATGGGATAAAACAAATTAGAGGTGGAAGGTGTTGAAGAATGTCCACAGCAAACTGATGGGTATGAAATACTTTTAATTACATATTTGAATAATATATTGTAATTAAATACATATGACATGTCATGTGGTATTGAATCATGGTAGGGGAAACTGTGGCATGTACGTGCTGAAGATCGTAGAGCTTTTGATTATGGGCATGGATCTGGACAACATAGATGCAAATGACATGACCATGTATAGGGAGAAAATGACCACAAAGTTGATCATGTATAGCAAAAAGAGGACAGAGGAAATGAAAAAGGAACAAGGCTTGAAGACAAAGAAAATCTTGAGCAATTGAATGTCTTTGTTTCTGATGATGAATATGTATCAAGGATTTGTAATTTCCAATGTATTGGGTTAAACAATTACTTGTTGTGAGGGATGATGAAGTAACTGTGGATTGTGAACCTAATCACTAGTATTTTTTGTTTGAATTTACTATGTTGTTATTAAACTGAATATTTTGGAAGAATATCATATATTATGTTTTAAAATGAAAAAATATTGGCATTTATGTGAGACAAGTATATTTGCTTTATCATGTAATCATAATAGCTGAGACAAGTAGTAGACTAATAGCTGAAAACTGTTGACAGATATGCGACTGAATTGTAATCATAAGTAAATATAAATAACATCGCAGAAGAAAAGATGGAAAAAGTACAACACTGGTGTAAAGATGTTGTACAGATGTTATGGAATTCAGATTTCAATGTAATGTATTTTTGTTTGAATGTTATTTGGAAAGTGGTGATGTAACTTCACTTTTGGAAAGGAAATGTGCTGCCAATATATGTGGCAAAATGTAGTATACGTTGTTTGAAAATGCCAAAAAATTGGAAGTTTTGTGAGACGAGTATATTTGGTTCATTTCAGTCTGATGAGTGTAATGGTAAAAGTTGTAATGCAAGCAAACATTGTTTCACAAAGTTCAACATAATATGTAAAAAATATAAAATCAGGGACAAACAATTGGAATTTCAAAGAACACAACAGTAACAGCAACAACATTGGTAAGTGTTTTACATGTAAAAGGAAGGACTTGAATTATAATATGAGTATATGACATAATAAAAGGTTCCACATACAAATGTAACAAGTATTGAATACATTGGAATCATAATTAAATAGTTGGGGGTATGGTGTTGTGACAAGTCTTCTTATTGTGACCGACGATGTGGCAACGAGAACATCTTTGCCGTTTTGTCCCACGATGCTCACCAATAGAAGGTATCCTTGACTTTCTAGGACGACCAGGTGGCCTTTTCTCACAAAGGGGTGGCTTGCAGCGAATGCTCAAAACATTGGAAGGAATCAACCAAGACGATGGGTCTGTAATTGGGTGCATAACAGCACTCCAAGTAGAATGCCAGTAGTGACGTGTGTAATACGGAGAAATGTAGTCATAACACGACAAGTGAGGTCGAACACCAATCACAGCAACTGCATGAATGCAAACAAAATGAGATAGTTGAAACTCCCCACATGTACATGACTTGGCATTGAGATCAACAACAAAAGAACGAGAATGTCTATCAACCACTTCAAATTCCAAATATGAGCACGGGTTTACCTGGAATAAGCAAGAAGTGCGCATTAATATTGCATGTGAAAATGGAGAAGGACAAAACAAAAAGTATAAATAAACTATATGAAGTATCAAAAGTTGGCAGAACGTAGCATAAATTGTGTTAATTTACCAAAAATTTGGCATTCCTAAAAATAGACAGAAATATTGCAGAAGCAAAAAAAACTAATCCTGAGTCTCCTAGCTTGACTTTGAAGTGAAACCAGTAGCTTTTCACGTTTTTTTGTCAAAATAGAGGATGTCTTCTCAGCCTTTTCCTTTCTCTCCGTGAACCATTGTTGCATTCTTACTCTCAAAAAGTCAATGAGTTTAGCGACACAATACTCTCTTGCTGAAACATCGACATTGTTCATTGACTCCGCACAATTTGAGTCATTATATCATACCTACGAGGACCGCACATGCATTTTGCCCATTTATGACTGCCAATTTTATCTAGCCGCGGTCGTATACGGATATCTTCAGAATCCAACAATGTCATGTACTCTTCATACTCTTTTACAGTTGAAGCCATATAAGCAGCTTTGAACTTCCAACCTAAATCAACCGCGGAGCCCTTAAATTTAGAAATCATGTTACGACGCAAATGCTCAACACAATATCCATGGCCAGCATGTGGAAAAATCTTTTTAGCTGCACTAATCAAGCCCTTATGTCTGTCTGATACAATGTACATGTCCTCGCGAAACATCAATGCTTCACGAACTTTAGAAAAAAACCATAACCAAGACTCTTTTGATTCTGATTCACAAACACGAAATGCTAGTGGGACAATTTGGTCGTTTGCATCTTGCGCACAAGCTGTGAGAAGGGTACCCTTGTAGTACGCCTTCAAAAATGAGCCGTCTGCAATTAGAACTGGTCTGCAATATTTCCACGCCTCCCTCCAAGGTAAGAGGGACATGAAAAAATAACGAAAGGTATCATCTTCTGAAGTTATAAGAGCAATGAGAGAATCTGGATTTGCCATTTCAAGAGCATACGCCAAAGATGGTAGCATTTGGTATGAGTCAGAATCTGATCCAAATTGTTTCTGGCTTTCTGCATAGCTATCTTCTGAGCTTTCCATGCCTGCGTGTAAGAAATGGAAATGCCATGATTCAGAAGCATGTCTTCCCTTATTTCATTTGGTTTATAAGGCATTCTCAACACATCCAAAAATTTATGCGATATAAGCTCTCCAACAGTGCGGTAGGTTGCTTGGCGATGTTTTCCTTGACGAAAATCAATAGAGCATGTATGTGATGATGTAAATCTACAGAAAATAAAGTAATAAAAATGTTAATATGAATACAATGTGGGAAAAATTCCAAAATAATGGAATAAAAAAGCAAGACAGAATGATTAAGTAAATATACAGTAATGGAGAAATACCTTCGTATCTGAAACATTTGGACACCACGTAGTCTTACAGCCCTCACAACCCATTTACATTTTTTATCAAAGCAGATAACGTGTAAACATTTCTTCTTTGATGTAAGTGTCTTGAATTGGAACACATTGTCTATTGCGTAAAGCTTCAAATGGTGAAGAAGAGTCGATTTACACTTGTAAATAGCATGCAATACAATCTGAGTGGGGTGATAGTGAGTGATGATTTCCAGATTATGATAAACAGAAAAGGTGTCATTAAAAAGTGAAGAAGAAGGTGATTGACTAGAGCTAACTTCTGGGGTAGGACTACAAGAAAGCACATATGCATTGCTCATATGACTTTGGGAAGTCTCTATAACATTGACTTCATTGTTAACATGGATGTCATGTTCTTCAATATTGTTGTTGAAGGAAGAATGAATTTGACCAGAAGATTGATTTGATGAACATGGAATTTCAGCTACAACAGTTGTGCAACAGAAAATGTGGGATCATATACAACAGGTTGTGCATCAGGTTGATCCACTGAGAATTCCACACACAAGGGAGATTTTTGAAAATCACTTTGAAGAGACTTAAGATAAAGGTAAAAACGAAACGTTTCCTCATCATGAATAGAAACAGGTGAAGGACAACCATCAACCATGTAAGATAGTTTGAAGTGGTTATTTGGTTTGTAAGGAGAAAATATGGAAGATAATTGTTCCAAAGTTGTGTATTTAGCAGAGAAAAGAACTTGCATAGCAAAGGTGGCACTGCAATTGAAGTTGTAGGCATTGTCCCAAATACCATCTACTTTCACCATAATAAGAAGAACAGAATCCATATCGACAACTAAGGAGAAAAAGAGTAACAAACAGAATTAAAAAAATGTCAAATATTGTAAATCAAAATGCCAAGTTCATGGAAAAAAACATAAAAAATGCAACCACAAGTTTGAAAACATGCCTGACAGTGATAAAGCAAGTAATGTCACATGGAAGAAGACATTATGATTTGATGAAGATAGGAAGGATAATCATGTTAGTAAAGCAAATTAAATAGCAAACGATTGAAACAAAAGTGAAAACGCAAAAACGATGCAGAGAGCAAATTCAAAACATATCATATATTTTAAATTGAATTTGTCAATAGTTTGACAATAATATTACAGTATGTTGAAGAAGTGATCGGTTGCTCAGACAATACATTAGGATTTGATTAAGATACGAAGCATAATCATGTTGAAAAAAATTAAATAGCATGATCGTTGATATTGTTCGTCATAGCAAACAATTGTTGTGTGAAACACATATAATAAACATTAAATCATGAAATTTAATACAAACAAAATAAAAGGCAATGACTCTGATCATGAAGTTGCATATAAAACGAATATAATTGCCAAATTGAATTTCACATACCAGCCAGTATACTCGCCAAGTTGAGTTGCAAAGCTGATCGAACGAATTCGCGTTGAGTTTGTTAAGCTGCAGAGATGATCGAACAGTTGACAAATAGAATTTCACATACCGGCAGGAATTCATCGCCAAGTTGAGTTGCAGAGCTGATCGAATGAATTAGAGGTGAGTTTGTTGAGCTACAGAGATATGCGAACAGATTGCGTTGAGTTTGTTGGAGTTGCAGAGGTTATGGAACGGAAGGAAAGAGACGAAGATCAGCGAAGAAGAAAGAAGGCGGTGGCAGTAACAGAAAACTAACCGGACAAAAATAAAAAAAAGGAAATATTAAAGTGTTAGGCAAATAACATACCAGGGGTAAAAAAGGAAGGAAAATATAAGCATGATTCCAAATAGGACTCATATAGTCCTATTTTAAAATAAAAAGATAAGTAGTCCTATTTTAGATTTTTACACTAGTTTTAGTCCTATTTGAGATAAAAACTATAACTTTGTCTGTCTATCTCTCTCATACCAAATGTGCACTGTGCACAATTGTAGCATTAAAAATGACCTTACACAATTCGGTGTGCGAGTTCAAAAATTCGGTGTTTGATAACAACGATGATTAATACTACCTCCGTCCCAAAAACAACTTCTCAGTTTGACTAGCACACACATTTAGGTAGATTAAAATTTTGGTTTGACTTTCCCAAAATATTACTGTTTTGACACTGTTTGGACATTGTTTAGCACTGTTTGGACACTGTTTAACACTGTTTGTCACTGTTTGACAATGTTTTGATGTTGATAATTTGCCAAATAAGGAAGTGGAAAGAAGTGTGAAGTTAATTTTGGGACATCCATTTAAGGAAAGTGGAAAGTTATTTTTGAGACGGAGGGAGTAGAAAATTCAGTGTCTGAGAAGACTGATAAATAGAAAATACGTAGTAGAAGCAACCAAACGGTCCTTCATCTTAAGCACTCATGATTACGTTTTTTAATTGTGTTTGGAGTAATCTAATTTAGAGCCCCTTTGTTAACTTGTTTTTGGGCTTATAAAGCTTATCAATCATCTTTTTTGCCGATTACGTAACTTTTGATTTAGCGTGTTGAATTGTGTAATAATAAGAAAAATATGGGTGAAGTTATTTTTCTGGCTGCATTGGCTGAAGTTACTTTAGAGGATAATTTTAGTTGTTTTTTTATATAATCTTTTCTTTGTTTTATTAAAAAAATATTTTATATATAATTTTTCCATAAATCGGTAAAATCAAACAATTCAGACAAAACTTCATAAATTTCAACAGAATCCGCTAATATAGTCGATTCTTGATGAATAGTTTAAAATATGATCTCTCTGTCCTCACCCCAGGAGCGCAAATAGAAATTTCTGATTTGAGCAACGCATATTTTTATCACGTCAACTTATGTTTAGACTTTCTAAAATGTTACGGAGCACTAGTATATTTTATGTCAAGCTGAACAAAAAGTAAGATTTGTAAACAAATTATGTAATATTTGTCTATTGATAAATTATGGACATCTAAACAAGGAAAACTGGAGCTTACTTTTGATGGATGTTGTATTAAAATGAAGATTGTGAATCATTTAATTGAAGCGTAAAGATTTCTAAGAGCATCTCCAATGGTACAACGTGCACGGTGCACATGTGGCATGAGCGATAGCCACATAAATATTAGTAAATAAATTCGTTATCTCCTTATTTGAATGTTTTTATGCAGATTTGGTAAGTTTTTCTCCACAATGTCAAGGAGACCGTCTAGATGTTGACATTGAAGTTGACATTGCAGGGGAAAACTTACCAAAATTGTATAAAATCATTCAAATAAGGAGAGAGATAATTTAATTGCTAATATTTATGTGGTTATCTTTCATGACACATGTGCATCGTGCACACTATAGCATTGGAGATGCTCTAAACAATTTTCAACCATATATCTTTAACTATTGCTTTCAGCAACGTACAAATAGGCTCGTTGCTTAGATCCCGTTTTGTAACAAGAAATTCAGTTGATTTGGCTGATTCTACTGAAATTAATGAAATTCTGGCTGAAGTGTCTGCATTGGCTGATTCTCCTGATTTAAGAAAAAATTATTTTTAAAATATATTTTATTAATAAAATAAAGAAAAAATTATATGCAAAAATAGCTAAAATGGTCATCTACATTAATTTCAGCCAATACAACCAGAAAAGTAACTTCAACCTTACTTTTTCTTATTATTACACAATTCAGCACACAATAGCAAAAGTTACGTGTTTGGTGAAAAAGTTAGCTGATAAGTCTGATAAATCGAAAAACGATGTTATCAAACGGCCTCTTAATTTGATCTTATTATTGAGGAGATCAGAGTGAAATTAATTATTCATTTCATTTCTTGTAAACGTTATACGATCGAGTAGTTTAATTTATATATTCAGTATGTAGTAAGGGCTAACCTTTCAAATACAAGAAGGTAGAGTAAAATTTGACACAACCCCGGGTTACATTTCTAGCTAGCCATTTGGCGAATAACTTTTTGAATTAATGAGTTTGGCAATTTATATTATTTATATAAAAAAACAAATGTGTAACCTTCTTTAAAATATAGATGTTTTTATTATAATTAATTTCAGTTTCTCTCAAGAACAGACTAAACGTAAGAGTCGTTTACTAATGACTTAATGAACTTGATGAGAAAGACAACTTAACCGTTCAGTCATTAAGTCATATTTATTTACAACTTAATTGAAAACACGGCTTATTCATTCCGTCAAAAAACTAATTTAATCATTAAATTGTGAAAAGGTCATTTACTTTTTATTTTATTAAGTCTTGTACGGATTAAAATGTATGTCTAAATCAAGTGATGTTTGTATATGAAACTGTTTATTTTGTGTATTGAATTAACCATCTTAATAGAATAAATTAATCGATTTAATATTATCATTAAGTTATATTGACAATGAATAATATCAAATATTTAACATATATTTTTCCATATTGGGTATAAAATATTGACTGAATAGGCGTATTAATGAGCGTCTAAATTGGAAGGATACACATACACCAAACATCTATCAAATCAAATTTTAATTCAATTAATACATCCTATATATCAAACTCAAATGAGAGCATTATAAAATGTTAATGGCTATATATTATCGACAATGTGTTTTACCTGACTTTAAAAAACAATACTCCATATCTACAACCGTATAGATGTTTCCTTTATGCCAAATTAAATCGACTATTTTTAAGAATGATGGATGATAAAATTAAATCGCGAGTGGTTAAATCATTTAATAATTAAAACTTACATATTCAAAAATTATATGATTCAAAGTCATAAAGCCAGATTAAAATATAATAAAAATTTAATATGCTAAATACGGAGTAAGTATAAAGTTAAATCGACTTTATACTTATTTTTAAGAATGATTGACGATAAAATTAAATCATATGTGCGAGTGGTTAAATCATTTAATAATTAAAACTTACATATTCAAAATTTATATGGTTCAAAGTCATAAAGCCAGATTAAAATATAATAAAAATTTAATATGCTAAATAAGTATAAAGTGAAATATTGTTGATAAAAATGGGACAGAGGAAGTAGCAAACCAAAACTGGTAAGGTAAACTGAAATCCCTTTATGTAATTCCAGAATATGGTTTTAGTAAAAAACAAGCACAAAAATTAAGCAATTAAAACCAACGAGCAGTCTGACTAAATTTGAAGTTATGTTTAACTTAAAACATTTGATGAACTGTTTTTTTTTTTTGAACAAGGCGGCTTAAATTGATACTCCCGTTTCCAAAAGAAAGTCACGGTTTGACTTCACGATTATTAAGAAAATAAATTGACTTTACTGTAGAAAACACTGTTTAGACACTGTTTGGCACTGTTTGGACACTGTTTGGCACGGTTTGGACACTGTTTGGCACTGTTTCGCACTGTTTGACACTGTTTGGATGTAGATTTCTTTGCCAAATAAGGAAATAAGGGAAGTGCGATTTTTTTTTTGAAACATCTCAAAAAGGAAAGTGTGAGTTTCTTTTAGAAACGGAGAGAGTATTAAAGCATTCAACAAGGGAACAATAAGATAAAAAGATCACTTCCAACCATCGACCCTCGAACCAAACTTAGAGCCAATCACCCAGAAAAAAGCAATATGGCTCGCTAATCCTGTAATTGGTCTAAGGATGTTTTTACTTGGACTGTAATTTGTTGATCTGGTCTGGTCTGAATTGGTCTGGTCTGGTTTCTTTGTATTTTTATAACTATCCAAGTCTAGTCTGCTCTAAATTGGTATGGTCTGGTCTGATCTGGTCCGGAAGGAATTACAATCCTTCTAAACACATCTTAAATGAGCCTAACGTGGTTAGAGTAAACCCTCATCGCCCCAACCTAATGCAAGAGTCTGGCAAAAGTAAGCGTACAAGACAAACAAAACAACATGTAGTTCAAGGTAAAAACACAAACAAAATAAAACAGAAATAGAAATAATCGTCCAAACCCTAGTCACACAATTCCTCCAGGGCGACGGTTCGAGAGGAGGACGGATCAACCTCCCATCGTCTTATTTCGCTCGTATAGTACACACCTGTTTGGAGTCTCTTCCTCGCCCACAGCCTCCTCTTCCAGACACAGATCACCCTCTTAACCCCTGAGAGTCAGGTTAGCACATTTGTTGATAGTCTTCTCTATCTCTACCACCGGGGCTCTCCACCAACGCCGGTACAAACTACTAGGGAGTAGGGACAAACCCTAGGGATGATCGCACCTTACGAGATTATCCAGAGTTCCAGAACTCGATATCCTGCTTCCTGCCTAGGTGCGAACGAAGCTCTGCGGCGCCCTTCAATACCCTCGCCGTTGCTTCTTCTCGCTCCGATCGGCAAAATTTCCTAAGGCGGGGGCGGTAGTTTTAGGGTAAAGTTAGACGTGCACATACATTTGATAAACTCTTGACTAACGTTTTATTTTATGCACGTAAATTCAACATATGATGGAATGATCATGTACTACGTAACAATTATAAATATTACAGGTGTTCACTTATTCAACGCATCACTTTAAAATTGTTATTACATGGACTCTCATTTATTGTAGGCTCGAATAGTATACCTTTAAAATTTTCAGCAAGATACATTGATTTTCGTCAGTATTTCCTATATTGACCAAAGAATAAAGTCATAAACCCTTTTTCTAAGTATGAGCCTATGTAGTTCCTCTTGACAGAAGAAACATACAATTTTAAGCAAATATTCGTATCGAGAAATTCCAAAAGGGATTGAAATCGATTCACAAAAGTGATTAGGTGATGTTGCAGACTTGCAGTACGTAAACCACCTGATTATCATTCATCAAGATGCAGTTCTCCATTGTAACTCAACCTGAAGCTTTCCGTTCTTGGAGTCAATCAGGTGGTATCTCTCATTAGTTCTCTTGTTGGTAACTACATCCATCAGGGGTATGTCCACATATCCCAGAGATTCCTAAATCAACAAATAATAACAATAATTAGTTAATACTCCGTATTATCATAAGTAAAAAGATTTATAAACACCGGTGATGATAAAAGCAAAGTGTGGTGAAGTTTGACGAGAAAGAACTCTCTACCAACAAGCTGATTTTTCAAGTACTTCATAATTTTAAAAGGGGTGCTTTAGAGGTAGTAAAAGGAATAATAAATAACTACATAAATACCTTTGGATATCTCAGACCCATTCTTGATGAGGTACTAACAACTTCAATATGCATCCTGTCATTTGTAGGCGGCTTGTCCAGCATGAACTGGAATTCCTCATCCCATCTCGGGTCTCTATTTTTCTTTATAACCTTTACTCCAAAATAGCAGGGTTTGATCAATCTCTAGTTAAACTAAAGCACTCAAAATGAAAAAAAAAAACAAGAAATAAAATAACATTGTCAAATGATGGTAACTAGATTATAATATAATGCACATGATTAGATTGTGGTCGCTCAATTCGATCATAAAACGCACGTTTCAGACCTCACTAAGAGATTGAATCTAACCTAGTGCCTGATAAACCCATATATATATCTTTTAATAACTGATGTGGGACTGTTAATATAACTTGTTACCTTGGTTCTTTTCTCTTCTCCTTTGAAAATCATACGGACGGACGGATTAGTGTGGTGCTTCCCCTCAAGGTCTTGAGCTTCATGAACAATGGCTACAAGCAAGCCACCACCATCCGGTGTTCCCTCAGGGGCTGCCTGTACCTCTTTCGATGAATCTTCAACGCTGCTTGACATTTGCTCATCTGAAAACGGTTTGTACGCCACTTCAAGAACTATCTGCCCTCGTGATTTCTCATTTTGAGGGTCATCTGGATTAAGGCTTTTCAGAAGATCAAGCGTCACAAGTTTTGGTTCGTCTGGTGTAAGATCTTTCAAAGGAACATTATTTATGCCCATCTTGTCATGTGTACCAACCTGTTAATGGCCAAATGTGTCTCAAATATACTACAAGTATGAAGTCTGTGTCACTGTGTGCTTATTTTCTTGCCTTGCAAGAATTACATTGCTCTAGTAGTCCATCCAAAAAGGCCCATTAGTTGTGCCCCATTGCTCATGTAATCCACCCCAAATAGGTCCATAAATAGTATTCCAAACCTTATTGGTTTATATGTTTTATATTTGTCCAATTTGGGATGTTAAAACTCCTGGAGGAGGGTTTGCCGTTGCATTTAAGAAGCCCTTTTATGTTTTTATTTCTTTAAAAAGGCCAAAAGTAGTATTTTTAAGTTGGTGCTTCGGCTGGACATTGAGAACTTTAAAATACTATAAATTACTTTTTTTATCAAACACTCAACATCTGATTTTAAAATCACTATTATTTTCAAACATCGCCTGCTTTTAGCATTCAGCACTTTTCACAAGCACAAATACTCTGGTCGCAAGATAAAGAATTAGATCACAATACCTGCTCCCAGTCATAGACAGATACGTCTAAAGATTGAGATTGTGGATCCTTAACAACAAGACTGAATTCCTCATTCCACTCTGGGTTCAAATTCTTGTGCTTAACAGTTGTTTTCTTTGATGGGAGTTTGTCATTAGTGAGTTTAAGTTTGACATATGGGTCTGAAGCCCCCAAAAGGTCTTTCTTCTTAAGCTTCATTGCCCTCACAACCTTCACGTTAAGAATTCCAATTGGCCTCTGCATCGCTCTTTCAAAATGGTAAAGGAAGATGATCAATTCACCTACTCAAGTGAATAATAAAGATAATTATGGTTTACCAAAGAAGTATGAACTTACTGTGCAGGATCCATTATTTGGACCTCGAGTGTTTTTGGCCACATGTACATGTTACCAACCTGTTCTTTTACCAATTCCTGGAGTAAAAGATCCTTTGAGCAGAATGCATGGCATTTTGATAGATTTTTTGTATAATGTTACGATTTAATGTTTTTGAGCATAACGAACGTCAACTAATCATGTATAGATGATAAAATTATATTGAAATAAAAATATACATAAACGTACCTGCACAAATGTATATAGGCCTGGAATGGACATAGCATCAGCTCCTAGCAATTTTAGTCCAAAGTCAATGTGAGGCTGCAAGTAGAATCAGGCAAATAAATTACTTGTAGCTTCGTAATAGTAAATGAGTTATGCAATGGGGATTTCTATCAGACATCACAAATGTGTTGCAGGTTTTTTCTAGTAATAAACTCATACAAGAGTATAAGATTGCCAATAGTATTAAAATTTCACTTTCATCCTAAGGTAAACTATTAGGATTAATAGCTATAGACATCATTTGTCGGTTTACGTAATAATTATATTGATGAGGTAGTTCATAAAAGAACTTGAAGGAGGTGCATGTGTGCCAACACATTCAACCTACAAACTATAGCATGTAGCTTGTTATATTTATTATTATTACTTAGCTGGTTTAAAATGATTGTTACGTCACTCACCTTCTCCATGAGTGATACAAGAATTTTTGCAAAACATGGAAAGCTTGGAACCAGTGGCTTCAGTGTAATGCGTGGCAAAGCAAATACTTGCAGGTCAAGCACCTGAAATTTCACAAAATTATCAAATATATTTGTATACACAAGTAAAATGCAAGAAAATCCTAATGGACTACCACGTCGGTTACAGTCCTTGTGAAATTACCACTTTATCCTTGTGCTACACAAGCGGTAACATGTTATGTCATTACTCCTGTACATAATCTAGCAAGTAGAAATCTTTCTAACTTTAACACACATATAGTCATGAATGAACAAAACATCCAATAATGTCAATAGTGGTTCAATGAGATCGACTGGATTTGTTAGTTTTGGAAGAAAGGAAAAGATAATGACATTTATATTCACAAGTTCCCTTTTAAGTGGGTCAGTACCTGAGTAGTGACTTTCAACCCAAATGCTTTGACCACCACAAGGATGTTGGGATTACCAGCCCACTTTAAGGCTACTTCCATTATCAGTTCCTTTTCATCAGTAGAAAAAACCTTCATTCCTGCACACCCAAACATGTACAATATATCAGTATGGTGACAGGTTAAATTGAAAACTGTATTTCTCTTGTATGCGCCTGTCTTTTAAAACACTCTAATTAGATTTTGAACTTTCCTTTATGAGAACAAACAGTATGCAGAGAAAAAGTGTATGACATAACTTAGTTGAGAGAAAGTAAGAGGCCTGATGAATGTATAATCAAATATGACGGCAAAGAAGAATTTATAAGTGACCACAAAAGAATTAAAAATCTGAGATGATTTTGGGTTGTTTTATGTTGGCCGACCCCAAACTCTCTTGGGAATAAGGCTTGGATGTTGTTGTTGTTGTAATCGACTGAGTGATGACTGATGAGTTAAGGCAATGCTTGGCAAGATGGAATCAAAGTAAATGTAAGTATGTAACCAAGGCAACATTTTTAAAGTTGCTATGAATTGAGACAATGTTAGATTATATTCCTTTATTATTAAGTGGGACAAGTGAGCTTACCATGCAACCTCTCAAGATTTATTTAGCAGAATAGACACAAGTGCTTGTTTTAGAAAAGAAGAAGCTTGACCTTGAAAAGTAGGTGGCAGGCTTCCCAGTGTAAGTTCTTGGAATTCAACTGAATCAATTTTGAATTTAGGAATTTGCTCAGCTATTATAGGATCTGCTATTTGCTTTATTGTCTTGCAAATTGCCTGATGATTGTTTTACCCATCAACACTTAAACTATTGACGAAAATACAACATCTTTCGTAGGGTGGGGTTGGAAGGGTGGGGGGAGAGTTCACAGATAAACATACCTTGTCCAAATATGGCCACATGCTTTCAATAAATCTGTTAAGCCAATCAAGCTGCATATGGTTGCAGTTTACACAAACAAATTATTAGAATATTGCTGCACAAGAAGCGAATCTGAACAAAGATATTTCATCAACAATAGAATTTGCATGTTATTTGTCGTACACGGTCAAAATCCGGATTTTTCACCCAATGCGGTATTTCTGGGAGAAGTCTTTGAAGACTATCAGAATCTTGTTCTCCCAAAGGTCGTATATCAGGGTCCTGAAAATATTTAAGACTCAATTCAAATAGCTTTTTACATAATACGGAGTAATAAAACACCATTATACGACTAGCTTCTAGACTACCATCTGGTGCATATAACTGACTCATATTTGGTAGAGAGATAGTTAGCATAGGGTTCACTGATATTTGCACAACTGCATATTTCATTCTCTATCAACATCAAAGTATCTGAACTGTGAAGAGCGTACACTTTTACAAAAAATAGCCTAAAGATTATAACATTCTTAGCATTCCAAAAGAAGCTTTAGTGATTTTCATTTGTCCATAACTTAAGAAATGGATGAATTAAAATACAATAGTGGACATTTCGGTTTAAACATTAAACCTAGGAGAGATTTCATAGTTTTGCCGGGTTACTTAAAGGGGTTATAGTGTAGTCAAACCACAATAGAAGATAGAATCAATTCAGCTAGTCATTCCAATTAAAGCCTTATTAAACTCTTATGTGTCTCCCTAATATTCAAATGCAGGCATGCATAAAGTGATGAATGATGGCTAACCAGCAGCGCAATCAAATGCATAAAATTTACCATGACATTGGTGGGTTGGACGTAAATGAACAGAAAGTATCCGATCAAGAGGCCAATAGTGATCCCAAATCCAAAGCCAAAAACCCCCAATATAGTGCTTATGAAACCCATCGTGGACCTTCTCCCAATCTCCACTACAATTCTGTGTAAAACACATAGAACAAGACGAGCATTACTACTTTTAAGGGATCGGCATTCTGGGCATGAAAATTCACGAATCCTAAAGAGAAAAATAACCCGAAGATTTGGCAAAGGAAGATACCAGCAGATTTAATTAAGATATACGACGTATTACATTGCCGAATGATGGAGTTTAATGCATTGCAGAAAATGGCCGTTCGAAATCCTGTAACGGCTTTTGAAAGAAGCGTTCTAGGTGGCAGAGAGGATTCACAAAATCACACACCTCGTCGGCCGTCGCTATTAACGGTTCATTCTGCCCTTTTCAGCGCGAAAATTACAAGGGGCTCCACGACCGGAAAGGGAAAAAAAAGAGCAGCATTTATTTAATTTTTTTGACAAAGAAAACTTAGTTGCTTTTTGTTTATACTATCCAAGAGTTCTCCCTAATCTCCCTAAGGTGATTAGTAAATGAAAAATGTTTGGTATACACTTTTTTGTACTCCATTTGCACACGTTATCTGTCTACACATAAAGAAATGTATGTGTACAAATAACTTCTGTATTTTAGATGAATTGTCAATACACAAACAACTCTATCTGTATAGATAAACAAGATATGTGAATGGTCTGCACAAAAAATCGTACACTTATCATTTTTGTAAGTAAATAGTATAAATGATTCTTTTCAAGGAGTTCTCCTTAATGTTTGGAGATATGGGTGTGTTCATATGTATTGAATTTGTTATACTATTTGAGTGATACTATTTGAGTGGTGCAAGTGTAGATAAGTTTTGTGTAATTTCTTGTATAAAAGTGTTTGTTGTAACTTAGGTTGTACTTTCATAAAATTCATACTATATATTTGTAAATTGTTATAAAAATATAGGAAACATGTGATACACTACACTTAAATGATACTTGTATTACGAATGTTCTAAAAATATATTATTAAATGTTACTTGTATCAAATATTAATCAATATGTATCAAATATGTAAGTTGATACATTATACAAATAAATGTTAATCAAATATTACTTGTATCAAATATGTAAGTCACATTATACAAAATGTAAGTTGTGTATATCACATATGAAAGTCACGTTATATAAAATGTAAATTGCGCGTGTGGAATATGTAAATAACCTTATACAAAATGCAAACTGCATGTGTCATATATATATAAGTATTGTTATTTTTATGTAACGTAACTTACGAAACACGATAAACTTTGTAAGATTTCAATCTTTAAATATGAATCACAAGGATTGAAAAAAAATAAGGTAGAACTTGAAGAAAAGTTGCAGGCTTTCGAATACAAACACGGATTTTGTTTTAGATTGGTAGAACTTTAATTAATTACTCTAAAGAGTAGAAAAAAACCTATATTGTGTGACAATAAAGTTATCTGAATAGACAAAGATTATTGAAATGGATGGAATTTTTAGTGAAACGACTAAAAATTATATTTGAAATATATTTTAGAAATAGAATAAAGAAAAAATCATACTCCATATGAAAGTACATCTAACAATCATCATCGTCAATTAAGCCAGGAAAGGATGTTTGGTAAAAAAAATGACTAGAAAAACTAATAAGTCGGATATAAAAGTTTGCAAACGCAAAGGTTTTAAAAAAGTCTAGTATAATAATTTTGGTGCGCAGCTAGGGTTCCTTGACCCTTGTCTGCCAAAGAATTGGGGTCGGCGAACTACCTTCGCTCGACATTTGGACGGAACAAGAATTATCATGTCAGCCAAAATATAAGCAGCGGAGGCTAATTACCAAATCGTCTTGGGTTTGTACAAAGATTGGCGCAGCGGAGGCTGTTCGTCTCGAAGGTGCAGGGAGTTGGTTTGGTGGAAGCTCTCCTATACTAAACAGTTTACAAAGCGTAGGCCAGCCGAAGATGTCAGACAGGAATGAATTTGAAGAGATAGACAGTTTAGCAAATGCGTATGGCAACATGGAGATGGAGGAAGAAGATGAGTTTTACTAGTGGAGGCTAAGAATTCAGAGATTGAGAAAGTAGGATTGACATTGGTAGGAACTATTACTTCAGAAAAATCGGTACGTTTTTCTCTTTTGTGATACCATGGCTAATGTGTGGAAACCTGTTAGAAGTGTTACTATTACTGAGATAGGGGCACGCAGATATGTGTTCCAATTTTACAGTGAGAATGATCTGACACGTGTTCTAGAGGAAGGACCATGGAGTTTCGACCAGAACCTCATTGTTCTTGCTAAGTTAAAGCAAAGAGACTTGCCTTTGCAAGTACCACTGAGTAGAGCTGATTTCTGGATACAGGTTCATGATGTGCCAATGGGATTTTTTCTGTGAAAAATGCCATAAAAATTGGAAATTTTGTGGGGACATTTATCAAGGTGGATGAACATAATTTCTCTGGTGAGTGGAATCCTTATATGAGGATAAGGGTTAATATTGATCTGAACATGCCTTCGAAAAGGAAATTGTTTCTCCAATTGAATGAAAAGGAAATTTTTTGTGTGAAATTTAGGTATGAAAAGTTGCCTAGTTTTTGTTTTGCCTGTGGAATCATTGGTCACGCAGATAGATTTTGTCCACGCTATCGTGAGGGCAAAGGAAGGAATGGAGAATTACTGTTTGGGCCTGAGTTGAGAGCCTCAAAAGGAAAAGCAACAGTAGGGAGAATAAATGGCTAGACCCATCTGGCAAAAGGAAAGAGAAAGAAGAGGAGGAAGGAACAGGGATGGTAAAATCGGGTGTGCAGGGAGAATCGCAACAGGGGGAAGGCCATGCTCAGATGGGAGAGAAGATGGAACAAAAGCGGAGGCGAGTGGGATCATGGAGAACAAGAGTCACCGCAAAACAACATGGAGGTGGAGATGGGCATACCAAAAAACGGGGAGGAGGCGGGCTACAATGCCCGCCTTTGAGACATCTAAAAAATGAGATGGAGGATGCAGGAAGGATGGAAGCATGCAAACTCCATCATTTGGACTTTATTTTTGTTGGTACTTGTTTTTCTGGCAGGATTCAGTTTTTTGTTGTCTTTTTATTTTTGCTTACAATAAGGGTACTGGTTTGGCGGGTCCTTGTTTTTTTATTAGGTTTTATCTTGATGGAGGCAATCAGACTGATTCAGCCGCTAATAGCCTCTTTGCTCTCACCGTCTCAGTGATTAGTCTCGCTCCTTTTGAGGTGGTCTATTCTATGTCTGGACATGACATGAGGGGGCTGATGGGATTTTGGTATTGTTAGTCTAGGGGAGTAATCAAGTCTTGGAATATGCATGATGTACTGTTTTGTTTGATTTTAATATAAGTCATTTCCTTTCAAAAAAAAAGTTTGCAAACGGGCTCAGGCGTGCCTGATTTGTATTCTGCGGCATACTTAATTAATTGTTATACATTTGTGAGTAGGATCATGTCAGACCGGCTACAAAAGACCCTTCGTTCGGCCAAAGCAATTTGGAGCCCTCCCGTGGAATTTTTTAATAAAATTTTTTGAGCATTTTATTCATCATGTCTAGTTTACATCAAAACCATTGCGTTTTATATATATATATATATATATATAAAGAGAGAGAGAGACATTCTCATGTCCAGCTCTTTTCTGTCCGAACGCCGTCCGAACACCGCCTTTTGGGGCGGTTCCCGACAGAATTTTTTGATGAAATTTTTTGAGCATGTTCCTCATCAAGTCTAGTTTATTCATACCAAATTTAAGCTCAAAATTAGATCAGGAAGGCAGTCAAATAATTCGTTGAAGTTAACTGCGCCAAATTATACATAAAAAAACGCAGTTAACTTCAACGAATTATTTGACTGTCTTCCCGATCGAATTTTGAGCTTAAATTTGGTATAGATAAACTAGACTTGATAAGGAACATGCTCAAAAAAATTCATCAAAAAATTTTATCAGGAACCGTCCCAAACGGCGGTGTTCGGACGACGTTCAGACCGGGAGGAGCTGGAACTAAGAATTTCTCTCTATAATCTATATATATACGTAGTACTACCTCCGTCCTTGTATAAAAGTATCCATTCAATTTACACACATCTTAAGAAAGTGGGTTTGGTTGGTACTGTTTGGCACTGTTTGGACACTGTTTGGCACTGTTTGACATTGTTTTGTTTGCCAAAAAAGGAAAGGGAACTTTTATTTAGGAACGGCCCGAAAAGGAAACAGATGCTTTTATTTAGGGACGGAGGGAGTATTATTCTTGATGAAGCACATTCTCATTCAATTTCATCAAAAAATCCACTAAAAAGTCCAATGAAGTGAATGGACTTCCGGCGTCATAAGTTCATAACTGCACAAGGCAATGAAGGCATGTTGATTTATTTCGTTTTGTATGACATTTTTTCGTCATGACTAGTTTGTGATTACACTATAGAGTATAGAAGAATATAATAGAAACATTTAAATGGTTTATTTCTTTCGACATCATCATCTAACAGTTAGAATCCAAGCTCACGTAAAAGCGGTAAAACACTAAATGTGATAATTGTGATTAGAAACTACAGTTAATGTGCTCAAATCCTAACCATTTTAGAAATGCTATTTTGTCAGAGGGGCCTAAAACACGTACTTGGCAGCAACATCAAAACCGAATAAAAAAATATATATACACCTCAACCAGTGGCAAAAAAAATCTTTGCTGTCAGTATAGCATTCATAACAGGACTAACGTTTTCATACACGACTCAAAAAGGAATGGTGAATGGCAATGCATATATTCCCACATCCGGCAAAAACTGGGCACAAGGGGCTCTCAAAGCCGTTGCACTGCACAACTCATAGGAGCTCCTCATAGGCTTCCTCTTCTTCACACATGTCACCTCACTCTCATCACGCTTTCCCTTGAATAACCAATCTTCATCATCACTGCAATCAAGAGTGTCGCTCAATCTAGAGGGAATAAATTTCTCTATTAAATCCATGTACTTCATTTCTTCTCTTTGCATAGGCGTCTCTGCCACTTGTTTGGATTTTGGAGCAGATGGTAAAATCTTGTCAATGGCATCTCGTGGGACGCGAACAGTAGACGACGATTCACATTTGGGTGGTACAGGTAAATCAATTCGACCCGAAGTTGAACAAATCTCTTGAGCTTTAGCAAGAGAAGTAGAATCATGGTTGATTTGGTTCTGTAAAGGAAGCCGTATCTTAAAGACATTTCCTGCATACAAAAAGGAGCTGTTAGCACATTTATATAGAATGGAGTATTGTTTTAGATTTCTTATTGTCCGAGTAACAAAGACAAACCATGAGTACGGGTCACGTTTGGTGGGCAAGAACTCCTTTTCCTTTTATTGCTGTTCTGAGTGCTATCAGAAGAATTGTTTGGGCATTCTGAACAAACAGCATGACCAAATTCCTCAGTAAGGTTGCTCCTTTCTAACTGCTCAGAATCAGGGGATCTCTTTTTTTCAATACACCCACCACCTTTGGACTGGGAAGTTTCATTCTTGGGTCTTTTGTCGGACTGAACAGGATCACTGGACTTTTGTTTTGACTTCTCTTTCCTTTCTTTCCTTTCCTTCCTTTTCTCTCTCTTTTCCCTCTTCTTCTCATCTTTACTGTCTGCTTTGTCTTTCTTCTCCCTCTCCTTTTGGAGCTTTAGGGAATCATGACAAAAAATTTAGGATTGCGAGCAAGAGGATCAAATCCATCATGACAAGTCACATGTACGGTTCAAAGAATTATTACAGTGTTTCAACCACCAACACTCCTATCAATTCAAAACCAGGCAAACTCATAGAGATAAAGGTGGCAAAGATGAAAATGTTATGAGGCCAGAGGAAGGGATGAGGTATATACAAACTCTGAGCGAGTATAATAAAAGCTTTGTGCTTATACACAAACTCTAAGAGAAAAAAGACAGTTGGATTACACGACATTTGGCCTAGGTAAAAGAATGCAAGATTTATAAGACTTGGTAAAATTTCAAAAACAGGTGAAGAAGCGTGAAATAGTCCTCCTAAACACTGCAAAGTCAGGGAAAGAGACTTCATTGGATGTTTGTAAATTCTAGTTTGATCAACAAGGGAACTTTTTATTTCTAATAAACTATTTTCAACTCATTGGTTTGGTTTTCTTCTCTTCTAATGAGAGAGATTGATGGGATAATGACATAAAGAATTTCATATTACAGAAGCCAAGAACTGAGAAAACACAAGGTTCAACATATCTATACACCTTCCACGGCACACATGACCAAGAACTTAGAATCCCATTTACACAATAACAAGCAATCCCAGCACCTTATGTGCATATTATCCCTACAAACCATGTAACCTCATGCAACACCAAACTCAATTTGGTCAGACTGTCTACAAAAAAGCTGGTTAAAAGTTCTATAACCAAGCGTAACATCCAAAAACAGTTCCATTATGCACTCTTTCTAGTAATGGAGCTCTAAATGTTTGATTTGGTCACTCATTAACATTGATTAAAAAGTACCCCAACTCCAAGCACATACAAATTACCGCATGAATTACATTGGGGTCTCCAATGATAACCAAAGAGTTCATATCGAGTTCTTTGCTTACCAACAGTTCCAGACTTCCAAGCACATACAATACAGCCATGGAATAACATTTTTAATTAAAAAATCACCTACATCTACACATATGTGCAAGCCTGAAATCCTATGGATGCGGCATATATGCAAAGGGCAGAACCCGGAGTACATATCACTATTTACGAAGGGTATATGTAAGTACAACCCATCACCCACCCCAATTCCAGTTACGCGTATTAGGCGATTAGCATCAACAAAGCAGCCGATACAAAGAGCATAAATACATGTAAATCTAGATGCTCTTTCAACAAACCTTAATCGATTCGATCAAGGCTGCTTCTTCATTGCTCCTTGAAATCGTATAGCCGGGTGGAGGATAAGGAAAGCACCTCGACATCCTCAGATCGGATCGATTTGATATTTGATTTAAAACGAAAGATTTTGCAAAAATAGTTGAAAGAATCGATTGAAAACAAAAACAAATTGGGTCGCGATTCAGAAAACGTCAAGGAAAATCGTTCTTAAAATCGCGGCAAATTTTTCCAGGAAAAACGCTTGCGAAGCAACCACCGCGGCTAGGGTTTCGAAGTCTCAAGAAAGGAGGAGGTCTAACAAGCCGTCTGCGAATTAGATCGTAAACGCTTGAATCGAGTCTTGAGAGGATATATATAGGCGAGGCGATGAGGGTCGGTGCTGTGGGGCTAAGCGCGTAGGGCGGAATGTACATTACCAGAAGTGCCCCTTGCCCTTGTTTCGTTTTTTTAACGTGGCTTTTTCTTATAAGGAAAAGGAAACAAAAATTTCCTAAGATAAAAGAAAAAATAATGTGGGTGTTTTTAGAAACTTCCTTACAGGAATTATGTACGATAGTATCATTCAGAAACTACTCCGTATAATACTTAGATACCTAAATTGAAATGTTTGTTACGCTTTGTTTAAAGATGTATTTTAATATTTGGTATACTCTCATTTTTGATAAATTTCCCCTTAAAAATATTCAAACATTCTTAGTTTTTTTGCCTTTTATTTTTTATATTTTCCAACTTTCTCTCATACTTTTTAAACATTATTCATTATCATATTACTTTTCCATTAAATATTTAATATTGTGTCAAATCTTATTGTAGCAAATGTTTCAAAGCGAATGAAGTACCTAATACATTTTAGTAATATCAAAAATTTATATGTAATAATAATGTCATATGTGCGTGTAATTTTCCAAACATTGATTACTCTTACATGGAAAAGACTTCAGTAATACATTTACAAACATTAATCACTCTTGCTTAATTTCCTTTCCTATTTAGGGCATTTTAAAAAAAAAGATTTAGTATTTTGACTATTCACCTCACACTTGAAAAAATATCTACAATTTGAAGTTTGTAATTTGTATGAGAAGTTAACAATTGCACCTTGTTGAGGTCAAGTTGTCGCGGTTCAAGAGCCCAACATGTATATTGGGCTTTCCTAAGATGTTATAGGTTATTTAGTAGGTGTGTTAAGCAAGTGTAAAAGCAACGGCAATAACAAAAGATGAGTAGTAAAGTACTAAAGTATGTGGCGTTTTTTAAGGAAAAACACTAATTTTTTAATAATAATGAAAGTAAACATAGACAAAGCAGAGCAATAGCTCAGATCAACCTTGGAGTGAGACATAGAGCTGACTAGCCCCGGAAGGTTCTGCCAGATCGCTAACTCCGCACAATAGTAGGCTATTCTAACAGCATCGTTGTACTTACTACTAAAATAAAAGTATAAAAACTAGAGTTTAAAAGCTGGAAAGAAACAAAAAAAGCACAAGTCATAATTTCACCAACCACCAGCAAGGGAGAAGTGGTTTGATATACCACCTCCAAAGATGTCATTCCGATTTGACCAACCATCAGAAAGGAAGAAGAGGTTTATCCAGTCACCTCTAAAGGAATACTTCTACTTGCAGCAACTAATGGAATTCCAGGCAGCGTTGATTCAGTAGCACCGCCGTAGCGCCGTTTTTTATCTATTGGGTTAATGGCCCAATAAGGGCCAGCCCATTCAACCCTTAAGGATCACCTACGAGCGTCCCACTAAAGGCCCAAGAAGAAGGCCAATCATCAAGGGCCAGGGGATGAACGTAGTCCATCACCAGTCAGTACCAAGGCCCAAGGCCCAAGGGGCGTACGTATCCCATCACCAGCCAGTACCAAGGCCCCAGGGCCAGGAGACGTACGTGTTGCACTGCCAGGAGGCACCCAGGGTCCCTACAAGGTACTTGGGGACGGACGTCCCCACCTCTTAGTAAGGGACCAAGGGCGGCTCAAGAATAGGTCAAGGATAGTAACCTCTCAATAGATCAAGTACATGAAGACGAACGTCCCCTCTCCCATTGATAGGGAATCGAGATCCCAGCAGAAGACATCGGCCAAGCCCATGGGGATGAACGTCCCCACCCAATGGAGGGAAACCAAGATTCTGGCGGGAAACGCATTTAGTGCAGAAGATTTGGTGGTTGGGATCATGCCGCCCACAGCCTGCCATGTCGGCATGTCCAACTACCCATTGGCGGTATAAATAGTAGCATTTATTTCACCGTAAAGGGTTCAAAATTTAGCACTCTAGCACTTGATCAGTAACAGCAGTTCGTAGCTTAGCATAGTACGCTCGGCCCTTCGGCTTGTAACAGCTTGAGTTAGTAAACACAATTTGTTTGGCGTATTTCCTGCTTATTTGTCCATTTTACTTGCTCATCACCCATTCGAACCCCCCAGGTTACGTGTTGGGCCTGCGGGTTGAGGGAATAAACCTCAACACTGGCGCCGTCTGTGGGAACCTAGTTCAAAAAGTCCTTTCAAACTAAGCTCTACACTAAGAATCACTCCAAAAATAACCAAAGAACAAGTAAAATGGCCGCTAACAACGCAGGAAACTCCCAAGACCTCTCTTCACAACTGGCCCATAGCAGGAGAAGCCGTAACCAGGCGGCAGGGCCCCAGTCCAGCAGTCTCTGGTCCCGTGGGGACTTTGGGGTGCTCACTGACTTGATTCCCCAAGAGGTCCGACGGGACTCGAATGCCCTGAGGGAAATAGCAGACATTATCCGCCGCTTGGCGGATGAACGGGAAGCAGAACGCGTGCACTCCGCCAACTCAGGACGAACACCACTTTCTCCTCTCCGTTCAATGCAGACGCTCGGCGAGCAGACTGGCGAGAACAATGATTCCCGCCAATCGGTCCATATCAGGATCGTCAGGAACGTCCATTCCCTGGACATGAGGGGCAATGGGGGGACCAGGTTCGGTGGAGGAACACAACAACGCACGAACCGGGAGCACACCCCGGTGATGCCCCGTAATGATCAGGCGGCGAGGGAACACACTCCCCTAATGAATGGCATGAGGCAGGAGGTCCATGTCATCCATGGTCAGCATAACTATGGGGTCATGACAGGGGGAAATGCCCTGGCGATAGTGAACCCAACATCCACTACTCCTGATCCACGGGATGCCATGCTTATGGAGATGCAGAGGCAGATTAACGAGTTGAACCGACGAACGGAGGCCAGTCCGGCTCAGCCCAGGGTCATTTTGTCTTCACCCTTCTCTGTCAGGATAATGGCAATGGAAATACCGAGGGACGTCCGGCCCCCAGGGGCCCTGATCTACAACGGGGCCGGGGACCCCAAGACTCATTTACTTTCCTTCCCGGGAACACTTTCTATGTTGGGAGCCTCTGACGAGGCCATCTGCAGGTTGTTCTTCAACGCTCTCAAAGGACCAGCACAAGAGTGGTTTGGGCGGCTCAGGGCCGGATCCATTGATAGTTTTGAACGTCTTTCCCAACAATTCATGGCACAGTTCGCATCAAGCTCCACACCAAAGAAGCATTTTAGCTGCTGACGAATGTCCACCAAAATAAGGGGGAATCCCTGTCCACCTTTCTCATCAGGTGGAGGGACAAAACCCTAAAAGTGGAAGACCTTCCGGAATGTACTAGCATCACCCTCTTCACCAACGCACTGACAAATGGGGACCTCTATCTGGACCTGAAGAGGAACCCCAGAAATAATGTTGAGGAACTTGCTCGGGCAGAAAAGTTCGTCGTGATCGAGGTAGAAATTTTGCAGCGGATGGGGTGGCAACCCCCGCAGCACGTAAGATATCGGACCAATTAGGTCTCGGGCCGGTGGAGTCTCCGGCGCCCAAGAAGAAAAAGACGATCGGCGGTTACGTCCCTTGGGCCACACAGGAACTCCCTCGGGACGGCCATCATGTGGACGTCAACCACGCTCCCTTGGCTTACCCCATCAACCAGATTTTTGGGGCTATCAAAGATAAAGGACTGCTCAAGGAGTTGGTGCCCACCAAGGGGCAGATAATGGGCCGAGACATGGAGGCCTACTCCGAATATCATCCAAGCCGGGGCACCGTACCGATGACTGCAAGAGTCTGAAGTACGCCATCCAGAAGCTCATCGAGAAGGGATACTTGGGGGAGTTCACTGCGGGAGGAGCATCCCAGGGTCCTTCACAATAGCACAGGAGGCCCTACAGCTGGCGTCGGGACGAACGACGGCAAGCTGGGGTCAAGGACGAGGACTTCCATCACAATGATAAGCGACCGGAAGCTTCACTGGGGCCGGTCGGCACCAAGAAGAAGATGGATATCAAAATGATCTTTCGAGGGGCGGAAACCGAGGATACCTCGGCAGAGAGGAAGAAATTTGAAAGGGCCCTCCGAATAAATTCCATCTCCGCACCTCCCGCCAAAAAGCATAAGGTCAAACCCATTGTGTTCGGACCGACGGATTTACCTCAATCACCGGGGTCCCACAGGGATGAACTGGTAATTAGCATGGATATCCGGGAGTAAATATTTCAGCGGGTCCTGGTCGATACCGGTAGCAGCGTCAATGTCCTATACTGGGACATCTTCGAGAGAATGCATCTGAGCAGGGCCGACCTAAGCCCCCTGCGGACACCCTTGGCCGGTTTCACCGGTCACAGCATCGACGTCGAAGGCACAATTGTCCTTCCGGTTGAGATTGGGGACGGTGAGCACCGTGCGACGATCCCCATGACGTTTGTGGTGGTGCGGCTGAAATGCGCCCACAATGCTATTCTGGGGCGACCCGGATAGGAAGACCTTGAGGCCATCTGCTCTGTGCGGCATTCCTATATAAAATTCCCCACGGAGACCGGGGTGGGAGTGGCCCGTACGGACCCAGACACAGCAAGGGCCTGCTACAAAGAGGTGGTGAGGAAGATGACAGAGAAGGATATGAGGGTCAATAGCATCGTTAAACTAGCCCGGCGGGAGGAGGCCATATCCCGACCGGAGCCAGCAACCTTGCTAGAGGAGGTGGAGCTGGATGATCCCTCGATCGGAAGGTATCCATTGGAACCGGCCTGGAGCCAGAGATCCGGGAGGGCGTGATTTTAATCCTTCGAAGGTTCAAAATCTTGTTTGCCAGAGGGCCGGAGGACATGCCGGGGATTGATCCCGAAATTATTTGTCACAAGTTGGCCGTTCGACCAGATGTCCGGCTAGTGCAGCAGAAGAGGTACATGGTAGTTGAGAGGAGATATTTCATCAAAGTAGAGGTCACTACCCTGCTTGGCATACGCACATCCGGCCTGTTATGCACGTGGAGTGGCTGTCCAAC